ATGACAACTGGGAAAAAAAATGAGCGTGTGTGTGTGTGCAAATATATACATGTACCTGTGTGTGAATACATCAGATACACACAGTTACATTTGCACACCCCTCACCTAATTCAATGTGATTGGGCTTCTTTTAACTTCAACAGGAAATGTGAGATTTTCGGCATTATGAATACTTCAGGAGTGTATTCAACTTTGACTCCAGTTCAACCTTTACGTCAGGTGAAGTCACAAAAGCAAAATGAGGAAAAAATGGATGAAAATGTTTCCAGGTTGATCCTTTTCTTTGGAAGGGCCTGGTTTCATACTAAGGTGTCAGTGTCTCTCTTACACATTTCCTTTGGACTGACACACCTACAAAGAGGTACATCATTGTTTCAGCTGAGTGTTGCCCATCAGTCTTCAGACTAGAGAGGTGGGATGGTGTAGGTGTTGTATTATTCAGGTTCTACACAACACATGCACTTGCTCATGGGTAAATGTTCTTTGTCTATTTTTAAACAGCTGGTGCCCACTCAATTCACACATGCTATATCTTTGCTCTGCTCAGTCCTACACTGGTCTTGACATCATATTGGCTGAACCTGAATCATCTAGGAAACCCATCTGAGTTTCCTAGATTTATAGGAGATATAACTTGAGTCAAAAGTTTCAGCTTTTTAACTTTCTGAGGAAAATCACACATTACACAGAACACTTATGTTAGAGTGGGGCTCTGTCACAGGCCAGAGACAAAAGCAATATCCATCCTTGATAAAGAAGTGTACTGTAAAACAAGCAGGCCTTGATCTTTAAGATCTAGAATGTACCAGGAAATTGTGACCCTGTTTTAGGACAGCAGAAAGATGGGAAAATGGAAAGAAGTCTCTCTTTTTTTTTCTTGCTAACTATTCACTTAGATGTAAATATTAATTAATTTCCAACTAAGTACCTGAATGCTTATGAGGAAGGCTTCCTATACAGAAAATGAGAGAGATCAGTACATAGGAAATCAAAATAGTTACAATCTCAACTACTTAACTCATTAGGCCTTTATATACAGCCACAAACAGAGGGCACTACTGCTATTTCAAAAACCTATCTCATGTATGTAGGACATGATATAACTGCAGGTTCCACAAATACATTAAACAGACTCCAAAAAACTGTCTCAGTTTACAAGAATTTTTTTTTAAATCAATCAGATCACTTATTTGGACAGCCTTGGTACTGAAATGACAGAAGACTATCCTCAGCTTCAGGATGTCAGTTTGCATGGTGATATTACCTAGATCAAGACTACATTCGGATTTAAAAAAAATGTTGTGGATCAGATTTACAGTTCAGATACATATTAGCATCAACTAGATGGCAAGGCTTTTGCAATCTTTGACTAAATATATTTTTATGCACTTTACAGGTTTGGGAATGTCCTGGGAGTTCTGAAAACAATAGCATACTGAGTACATAGCATGAAACATTGTGGACAACAGTCTGCAGTAGGAGAACATTAAGTAGAGTGAATACAGAACTAAATGCTTTTGCTAATAGTCACAAATAAACGCCTTAACATCTACTGAAATACCTCTAAATGATGCACCTTTTAATTTTGGTTATGTAAGCATTGTACTTTATCTAAATGAGACATACCACTAAATAATGCTTACTAAAAGACAATGTCTGAACTGTATCAGAATGTAATCAGTGCTGTTCTATTTAATTTCCATCAACAACCCTTGGATGAAAAAAGAAACATAAGCTTATCAATGGCTGCCTATCGGCACAGAACTTTATGGCAAGATTTAAAAAATAAATTGTCCTTCAAATTCTCTTCCTGTATTTGATAATGAAGTGACCTTTTTGTTGGAGACACGAAACAGTGAAAAAGCTCAATGGCTTTTGGAGTAGAGCTCACAGCTTTAGAAAATACAGTATTTTGTTTAGATGTTGTATTTTAGACACTCCAATATAATAATTTCAGAATACTGTAGTATTATTTTGAAACTGAAATAAATGCAATTTTAAACTGTAACTGCAATTTTAAAACTGCAATAAATGACAAAAAATTCTGACCTGCCTGTATAAATGTAGGCTTCTGTAAACATATACCATATTTTGATAAACTAATTTGGTAGCCTCAAGACTTCAGCAGTTTGAACTCTGCTGAGTATGTCAACAATACAAAACAAATGTTGACTGTTATGAAGATTGCCACAAATTATATCAAGGGAGCCTAATTACTGATTACAAGTGGAACAGCTGTTTGTTTTCCTCTGTTTCATTGCTTATGTATATCCAGCCTCCTTCTCAGAGCTAACGTGTTTGTGAAAGCAAAAATGCAGCCCTAGAAGATAGCACCAATATTCCAACTGAAGCCTGGTTGAAGATTTGATTCCAATTCTTTGCAACTATATTTATATTGAAAGCTCTCTAATTCTTTTTTCTCTAAAGGGTCAAGAAGACTCAAAGAGTTTATGTTTCTGCAGATCAGTGGTCCCTAACCACATGGACAGGTCTTGGATTGGTCTAAGAACATCACCATGAAGGGATAATTAGCTTTGCTAAGCCTGTCGCAGTTTTGTGGGATGCAAAAGTGGCAGTTTTAAGGGAAGGGGGGATTGGAGGTGGGTGGGTGATATGTGGAGCACTGGAAATTCTCTTAAAGTGAGTTTCTGCTACAGGATGATTGGGAACGATGAGTTTAGTTAAAGAATTAGAGAAACTTCATTAGACTTGAAATCTTGCTTAACACGAGCATGCGCATGCAGCATTATACAAACAGAGGAAATTTTCATACACTTGAATGATCAGATCAACACATGGCTCCAAAATATGTCCAATTTTGCAAAAACAGGTATCAGGAAATAGCTAGCTGCAGCATTCTTAGCAAAGTAATTGTCCCTGGATCAGGAGACATGTTCTTGCTATGCTCAATTACACAGGGAAGCTACATGAATACGTTTTTAAGGTAATAGGATCCTTTCATTTCCAGAAATGAATGCCTTAATAAAGTACTGCTTTTATGTCTAGGCCTACTGAGAAATTAGGTAGGAAAGGAGAAGGTCTTCATTTCCAATTATCAAAGTACAGAGTTTACACAGCAACTACATGTCTATTATCTTATTGAAGATTACATAAAATAAAAGACCTAATTTATTTCTTATTGCTCTGCAATGCCTTTGCAAACAAGGCTTCTTAGGTCTCATTATCTTTCCATTCAAAGCACAGCAGAAAAGTAAAGTAGGGAAACAGAAGTTAGTGATAATCATGCATGTCAGAAGATCACATTGGAGGTTTTGTTCCAGTCCTTTAGCACAAATCAGAGTGTGAATGTGGGGCGATGTGGGTCAGAGACAAAGAGAACCACTCTTCCAATGTTCATGTGGCAACAGAGAGAGTTTATTCTTCTGCCCTTCTTTATAATGGGCATTTGAAAAACCCAGTCTGGATGGCTCATTGGTCTGATCTTTTACATCCCCCAGATGCTGGACCAGTGATATGCTTGCAGCTTACCAAGGAACATAATTGGTTGGAGTTCCTGTTCCTGACAGTCACGGGCTGCTTTATGGAGGTGGCTGGGGAGCTGAATTAATTTGCCCAGTACAAGCCAGCTTGTACTGTGATACAATGTAGCAACAAAAGAGCATGTTATTTCAGTTCTGACAAACCACTGCTTTGACAAAGGAAAAAAGAAAGATATTCTAAGGAGGCTTTACCCTGGAGTGTGCCTAGAATGGATGTCAGTGGAGAGCAATTCTACAGCAGATTTTGAAAACTGCTGTGTGACTGTGGGGCAACTTCTTAGCCTTCTTTGAAATAGCTACTTGAGATTTCTATGACTTAAAATGACTTAAATTTTCTTATGGAGTGTACTTTCCAAGCCAGTATTGTCTAATCATTTGTTGGCTATTATTTGCAATATAGTAATATAGTCAAATAAAATAACAAGTCATTTTAAAAAAGGAAAAAAATAAAAAATAACTATTAAAATTCCCTTGGCTGGTATAAACTGACTATATCTGACCGTAAGATGGTGCTAGTGCTACTGCACTGGTAATGCACGTGCCACTGGCAAAGCCACAAGTGAGGAGCATGAAGGTGCTACTGGGTAAGTTTCCTTTTCTCATGACTTTTATGAGTGGCATTTGCTGCAACAAGAACACATCAGTTCTTGCCCAAGTCTCTGTAACCACAGAACATCTTGTCAAAAGGGAGCTAAGAGTGGGAAAAGAAAGTAAAAGACATTTTGGCCTAATATATCTTATTCACAAAAAAACCCCAACCAAAACCAGAGAGAGATCCAATTCTGAATAGACTTATTCTGTTTTCCCATTCTAATTAAAGATGCAACTGAAGAGTCCTGAATGTTCCCTCTGTGTTGCAATGGTAATCACACATGTTAGCTGGTACAGTAACACTCATATATACCTACATACTTACATGCATACACACCACACATGTATATGCTGTGTATTTTCAGCATCTCCCTAAACATGCCACGTGAGAACATGGCTGTATGGAGATCCTTGCAACTCTGCTCAGCTGGGAAAATTATCAAAATCAGCCAAAGGCTCTACTGTGAATTCAAGGCATTTTTCATCTAGGTTTCAAGTTTCTTTTTCAAAGTAAAACTCCAATATTTTTTTCAAAGAATTTGATCTCTGGAAAAGTATATAACTTTCTTTAAAAATAATTTCATTATTCTACATTCTGAAAGTTACAGTTAAAAATCAGTAGGAGATAAAGGATTTATTTGCATTTGATTGCGCTGGAATTTGGCAAAAATACAAACAGTATAACACAAAGAGTCTGTCAGTAACCATAATTACAGGAGCTACAAAATGTTTTCAAATTAAGCTACAGTGCCTCTTTTTCCAGGGAAAAAGTCTATTAAATTTTTCTCACAGGTGCACTTCTACTTCAAAGTGTTTTTCAACAGCTCTCCTCTCCACTCCTTTCCCAGCTGAAAACTCCTCCACAGCTCATTTTGTTACATTTTTCAGGTCAGCTTTGTGAAGTCCTACCTGCACAGGACGCCCATCTTCTTGGCCTATCATGTTCCTCCAATCCTGCAGTGACTGCTGGAGGCTGTCCAGCCCAGTCTCCCAAAGCCTCACACCTCCTCCCATGTCCACAGTAACCAAACCTACTTTGCCCAGTGGTGCCAGCAGGGCATCAGCATCTGAGATTGTAGAGAGCCAAGATGTATATGGAGAGAGAGACTTTGACCTGAAAAACATGAATATGATTTTTTTTTGAAGCTGCAATTAAAAGGGGGATGAGTATTTCTGTAGTTAAGGTGACAATTAAATGAAATTACATCCTCATTTCATGAGAGACTGCAACTCAGCCCTGTGGACCCACTATTTTGTTTGAAATTTTCCACCTACTGAAACTGGACATAACCAAAAGACATGTGACTGTATAAGAAGCAGTATAAAAGAATAGGCTGAAAGGCAACATGTTGCCAAAACTACTGCTCTAGTTTAGATACACTGAATATCTAATCCGTCTAAAAGCTGTCCATCTTTAGGAAAAAAACTGTTAAGATTATCAAAAATTTTTAAAGATGCTACTGAAAAATATTAAACTTAAATAGAAATAGAGAGAATATGATCCGAGCACTGAGGAAAATACACTTCCATCAACTTAGAGTAACACCTTTCTCTAGTGCTTTAATAAAATATTAAGACTTAAATACTCATTCAACAATGACACAGCTTTAAGTACAGAGAATTGTAGCACTTTTTAAAACAGTCAGCTTGCTGACAAAAATTTACTGCTGAAAGACAGGGTCTAATAAGTATGGAATATGAAGGGAAATTTAGACAATGCAGGGAAGAATCTATACATTTTTCAGTACGGTTAATTATATGCATAAAGGACTTGGCAACCTGCACGAATGGCAAAATTAGTAACTTTCAAAAATATAAGAAGGAGCAACCCATATGCTTCTACCTATGACTGAAACCACCATGTAGCAACTCAGCTGAAGGAGTCATCTCAGCATTTGACTGGGCTAGCTTTGGCAGAAGGAAGAAAGGTTGCTAGAATTTAACAGAGAACTATTCATACATATATGAATGTTTTCATATATGATGAAAACTTACTTTACTCATCAGTTATTACTGAAATACATTTAAAAATCTGGACTTCTGCTCAGATCTGCCATACACAGCTTAAATCCTAATGCTAGCTTAAGGGTCCTAATGTTGAAAAATAGCTTTGTAATTTCTGTTATTTCCTACAAAATCCTAGTGAAAAATAAAGTGATTCCTTACTATTTTTATCATAATGTCTTTAATTTTTGAATGACTGTGTAAGATGTAGGACAATGGACCAATTATAAATGGTGAAAGTGCAAAAATAATTCTCTGTTAATTAGAATTTCCCCCAGATTATTAATGAACAAGGATGAATTTAAACGAGAAGTACTGTCAAAATCAGCAATATGCGAATAGAATTTAAAAAATATATAATATTTTTTCATTTATAAAAATAAATTTATTCGTGAGTTTTATACATGGGCTATTCAAATATGCAAAGTGGAGAGAGTGCCATTTAAAAAATGTTTATTATTACAGTAGAAAATGACAATTTGAGACTAAAATATATCTTTATTCAATAAAACATTTGCAAACACTCTCTACAGTTGTGAGAGACACATGTTAAAACCAAAGAGAAGCCACAGAATCTGGCTATTTTAATTTATCATATAAAATACTTGGGAATGTATACTTTCCAAAGGGAGAACCACAGAAAAGCTCAAGCTATTTTCAAAGTAACTTGATTCCCAGTTTCCTAACACCTGGCACTGGATCATTTTGCCTGTCTTTCTCTGATCCTAAAGCTAGGGAAAAAGGAAGATAAAATGAAGACTGCAAACCATAATGAAAGAACGTTGAGAACAAAGTGGATGGAAGAGGGGGAAGGAAAAAAGGGAACGAAAATCAGAAGATAAAGCTACCTTTCATATGTAGTAACTAATTGATACATTTTCATCAGCATTATCTAATAAAAACAGATAAATTATGTTGGCAAAAATATATGGCAATGTCTGTAGAATTTTACACTAGGTATGAATCAGTCTTATTTTCCACATCAAAAGAAATATTTGCTTATCATAAAGTAGTAATTACTCTTCTTCTAAGATGACAGTGCTCTAATCAATAAAATCAGTTACCCAGGAATTGCAATGTATTTGATTTTCTTTGAATTAAGATCTGTTACTTCCAAGTATCCAGCAGCTGGTGGAGGAGTGACATCTGAAAACAAACAAACATGTTATTTTCCAGCTGCATGATTAACTGGTTATTGCATTTGCATTTAGCAGATTAAATTTAAACATTTTATTATACAGTACCTGTAAGAAAATGATAAGCTTTCATATTCAATACAGGAATACAACTTGCAAAAAAGGAATTGTTTTATTATTACGATAGTGAGTAATCAGACAGTCGCAGTTACAAAAGAACAATGTATTTATACAGCAAATGTCAAAATTACTCACAAATATAGCTCTGCTCACAAAAGCACTATTCAAGCATTACTGCAGTCCCTACCTTGCTGCTTTGATCTGTCACTGAAGATAATGTCAGTTGTATATCTGACTTTAATAGCATATTGAGGAACATTTCAAAACATTGTGTTTATGACTTCCACTTGAAAACTTCTCAATAGTACTAACCTACACACTGTCCCCTGAAACTGAACCACTCTTTGGAGGCAGATTCTCAGTATGTAATGATTTTATAACTTTCAGGCCCTAGACTATCAAGCATTAAATATTCTGTTTATGGACAGTTTAATGAATACAGCTAATATATGGTCCTTCCCTCAGAAAGAAATTTGTGTGCCTACACTGGCTTTTGCCAGCCCCTGTGCCTGGCCTCAGAAGTGGCTTCCATTTAGGAGCTGACTTTGATCTGTTTAAAGTAAATTGATGCAGTTTTTCAGAAACGAAACCACAAGAGTGAATCACACTGCCCAGTATGGATACAAAATATCATTGTCCCAAGATGAAATCAAGTGTAGATTTTCCTCCAAAACAACATATCTCTCACCTCCGTGACCTGAAGGAGTCCGACCTTACCTGCAGAAGTGCTGATGCTTGCACAGAGCACACACAGAAAAGACCAACATGATCAGCAGAATAAGGAGATCTAATATTCAAAGCAGCACACAGAATAACTCATAGCAGCACCTCATGCATATCCAATGTATTTATATATCCATAGCATACATGCCTACAAGAGCAGGTCTGTGCACTTTACTAATCTTCATAAAAATGGGAATATCACACACATCAGAAACAAGGGAAAAAGGTCTGGAAAAATGCAGGTTTGTGGGCCAAAGACCACTTTTGCATTCCCCTAGATTTTGTTACTATTTTAAAATGTGCTCTCTCTCTTTTGTTAGTAATGAAGAGTAAGATACACATTAAAAATTCTGATGAAGATCTAGAACAAGGGCAGATACTGAACTAGAAAGGGTAGAACTGTGGGATAAGAATTAAAAATTAAGTTAATAAATTAGAGAAAGAACACAAATCAAACAAATTAAAGACAATAAAAAGACAAAGGATTGCAGAGTAGGAAGCTGACAAAAAGGCCATCAAATGTTTAAATGCTACACAAGAACTGCTGGCTAGGCCCCAGAACTGCAGTCAAGAATCTTGACGATGAAATGTGAACATTAGACATGAACAAGTGCAGTTTCTTCTTCTTTTGCCAAAGCCTGACGGAGAAGAAGAGCTATGCACAGCTCCAGACATGAAGCTTTAAGGAAAACAGACACAATGTTCAGATCTGGGCTCCTCAGTACAAGGGACGTTGCTCCTGGAGCAGGTCCAGCAGAGGGCTACGAAGATGATGAGGAGATTGGAGCAACTCTCTTAAGAGAAAAAGCTGAGGGACTGAGGCCTGCTCAGCCTCAAGAAAAGAAAACTGAGAAGGGACCTCAATAATGTCTGTCAGTATCTAAAGGGAGGGTGTTAGAGGATGGACCAGGCTCTGCTCTCTGGCGCCAAGGACAAGAGGCAACAGACAGAAAATTATGCACCTGAACATGAGAAAAACTTCTTTACTGTGATAGTGACCGAGCACTGGAACTGGATGCCCAGAGAGATTGTAGGGTTTCCTTCCCTGGAGAGGAATTGCTTTGACCCAATCATGAGTAACATACTCCAGAGGACCCTGCTGAGCAGGGAGATTGGATCAGATGACCTCAAGCTGTCCCTTCCAAATTTACCCATTCCATCGTTCTGTGACACAAAGTACTCCTGAGGATGACAAAGTGCCCAGAACAGATGGGTTATAAGGACAAATGCAAATATTTTTTTTTCCTCGTCTAAACAGAGGGTTTTTTAAAAAAATACATCCAATCCTATTGAGAAGATTGTTATAAAGAGAGTGATATTATCATGAGTGAGTGAAGGTGACATGAAGTATTCAGTTTTGTTTAGAGAAAAAAAAGATGGATACCATGAAAAGTTTTTCTTATACAAGGAGAACGAAGCAATGCAATAGGACAATTGTTTGACAAACCTCAGTTAAGAAGAGAGTACACGTGTCATCCTGTCCCTATATAAACAGGTGGACCAGATGATGTGTCAGGGCTATTTTGGTGACATTGTGTTACACTACATGTTCCAGTTACTGTCATACTCAAAAAGACACAAACTCAGTAATAGGGTGTTGGTTTATGTTCATCTATAGAAAGTGCTGAGAATCCAAGTAAATATTTGATCTCAAGTAGTCCCTCATCTTTACAGTCTTGTTTTTAGAATAAACATTAGTTCTTCTTCGCTGGATTTTGCCACGATCTCTTGTCTGAGTTTATATTTTGTGTCCATACATCTATTTGGCAGTCTTTGGGGAAATTATTACTTACTATAATTTCTCTTCAAAAATAACTATCATTTGGTTTACAATTCCAATAAAACATACAGACAAATATTTCTTTGCTTATTGTTCCTGGAACAGCTTCACTAATACATATTGGAGCATGCTAGAATTTGGCTGAGTACTTTGAATTATTAATAGAAATGGTAGGCTGTATGCCAGAACTGACCAGTTGTCCCAGAAGATGAGAAAGAAAATCTGATAGATATGGAAACAAAATCAAAAATATAAAAACTTCTCAAAGGCAGCAGAAGACAATAGGGCAAGAACTTCAAGGGACAGACACATCCTTGATTTCACGTAGCAGGATGCCTTCGCTTCCCTTTACCATCTCCCAGGGAAGGATAAAACTTTCATAGGTAAGTAACTACAGGTTTCCAATACAGAAACAATGGAGCACAATGAGGAATAAAGCAGCACTGAATTTCAAGGGACCAAGACTGTTAAGCAGGAATTGGTAGTAGGTAATGTGTATTCAATCAAATACTCTGTCAATCAGTGAGACTGAGAGGCAAACTCCAAAAGAAACAACAGTCCAGCAAAGAAGGTTGCAAAATCAGAATCTCAAATGGAGATCATGAGGCCTATGACCTTATTATTTTACCTTCCAAGTGAGCACAAAGACACATGCTTCTCTTTTCCTGTCTTCTCTTTTTCACTTGGAAATATTTTTGATTTGTGCCATAACAAGGGCAGTACTAGGCCCCTCTAATCTAATCTAGTATCCTGTCTCCAAGAGTAGCTAGTTGCTTGAAATGTGTAAGAGCAGACAAGTGCACATGGTATTTTCCTCAAGCCACCAACCAGTTCCAATCTTGGGGCTTCTTAAACTGAATGTGCTGTCTATGTTTTGATATCTATGTATTTAGTTAACTTTCCAAGAGTTTGTCCAGTTTTCTTTTGGAAAAAGAAACATTCACAATATCCTTTGGGAAGTGGTTTCACAGGTTAGTACTCCATGAAGAACTATGTCTTGTTTGTTCCGATGAAGTTCCTAACAGCTTCATTAGCTGCTCCCTAACCCTGGTACTGAGTGCAAAACTGTTGGTTTTTTCCCCATCTCCATGCCATACATGTTTTTGTAGAACTCTACCATATGTCCCTCTCCTGATCTTGTCTTCACATGTTGGAGGATTGGCCAATGCAATCTTGCTCATTCTTGTTGTCTTTTTCTGAACTTATCCCAGTTCAGCCTTCTCCCACCTAGAGATGGAGGACCAGAACTGAACAGTGTTAAATACATGTGGATTTGTACAACAGCACAGAGACGTTCTCTGCTTTTTTCTGTTTCTTCCCTAGTATTCTTAACATTTCATTTGATTTTTTCAAGCACTACTGAGCTTTGAACTGCTATCTTAATGAAACCGTCTATCGTGACAGCAAAATAATGCTTGTAAGATGTTCTCATCATCCCCATCTTTTATGATGTAAAATTAGGATTTTTTCTTCCTCCACATATTCATCTACACTGAATTTCACCTGTTATTTCTATTGAATTCAGAATTGTAGTCCTTCTCATAATTTTCCATGGTAAATCCTTCCTACAATGAATAATAACCACTATCATCAGCACTGTCACCTCATTGTTAAGTTTTCAATTTTTTTCATTACATGCTGAGTAGCACAGGTCACCACAGGATTTCTCACATAGCTCCACGTCCACTAGAAAATCCAGCCACTAGCTATAAATGGAAATGTCTTGAAAAAGTCCTGAAAAAAGCTATGGAACAGAAGACCTAGAGTCTTGTTTAGGTCCCATTTATTGAATCAGTAAGGTTACATTAAACATGATTCAGTTAAAATTAGTCTTTGTAATTTAAAAAATTATAACATCATTCACAAAAGAAAAATCAATGATAATCATCTTCAAGGCATGAAATCTTTCAACTTAAATGGCCACATAAAGCACTGTGTAAACCTCATACAATTTTCTATACATTTAAAACTATGAATCTCTATTCATAAATATATTTCATCACAGCTGAGAAAAAATTAAACTGCTTGGTCAGACAGAAGCCAATTCTCAGACTGATGATATGCTCAGATTACTGGTATCCTGGATTCATGAAGAATGCCCCCTGGTTTTTAATCATAATAAACTAGCAATACAAGGTGTTGTATAGCAGAACAACTTAAAGGTTTTTAGAAATAAAAGATCTTTTAGATCTGTTTCAAGATCTCAATTTAGGTATTATTTGGAAGCACTGAAGGAAGATACCTCTCTCACTCCCAAATTAGTAAACTAATTTTAAGAAAAAGCTCAGAAGATTTATCTTCTAAATCAACCTTCTTCTGATTCAGATTTATTTTTTCTGTGAAAACCTGAAAAAGTGACCGAGTGTGACCATTCTGCATTTTATAAAGTACGAGAAGATTACAGCCTGAAGTTGTATAATTACTTCCAAGATTCTAACTCCAACTAATTTTATTAACTTTAATCTTTTTAAGAGGTAATCTTTCCTTCAGTTACAAAAGGAGGTAACTGAAGTTTTCTACCTTGTTAATATCCTTGACTTGGCTTCTTTAGTCAAGTAAATGTTTTATCCTCTTGGTAACAAATAAAAGGGTTTCTCTACATAGGGAAATTGATCTGTGTTAAATGAGGACAAGCAGATTGGATCATTCATTCTGTTTGAGTTAATTTGGAATAAAATGTTTAGTCTGGGTCAGAGAGTTCACACAGGGACTAAATCACGAATAGTTTCTTCTGCTGATGAAATCAAGCCATTCTACCATACACAAATATTTTGGGAATTTTCTTTTTTGATAGTAAACTTTGGAGATTCCTAAAGGTAATAAATGCAAAACTCACAAATGCTGTTATTTAGTATTAATTTGTGTATTTTCAGTTATTGGCTGAAGAAGCTAAAATTATAATGGCAACAGAAGGCTTGGCATGGCAGCACAAAAATGTCTGAAGATCCGTAGTCTACACCTGCTTTATTAGTGTCAGAAGGGAGGATGGTTTTGCTGCATGTGAATGTTGTTCATGCAAGATTCTCAAGGACAGGAGAAGAACTAAACAGGGTCTCTTCAGCTTGGAGAGAAGGCAGGAGTGACTGAAGCTTGCCCAGTCATGAAGGTGATGGTTAAGGTGAATGCAGAAATGTTACTCACTGAAGCCTGCAATGTTAGAATAAGGGGCACCTGATAAACCTGGCAAGAGATCAGATGATCACAAAAAATCATGAATTTTTCCCAAAAGGTAAAAGTTTGCTGTGGAGATGCACAGGTTCAGAGAGGCACCAGATAAACTTGTGGACAACAGGTCCATAAAATGAGATTTAAAGTCTGAGGCAGAGATGTCCTCTGCAACATTCCCAGCAAAACAAGTGCAAATATTGAGAAAGTATGAAGAGAAAGACAAAGAAGTAAATAGGCTCATATGCATTCCCAAAATAACCTCTCCTATTGTCCCAGCTGGGGATGGAATTCTGAGTTAGTCATATAACAAGTTTATCACTGCATCTCTGTGTGATACTGAACAGAGTATTGGTGAAGGCCAATAGCTGAACTGGACTGATCATCTTCTATTACTGGGTTTCCTCTGCAGACAGAGAGAAATCCCATCTACTGAGATATCCACAGTGTAGACACCCTGTTAATTCCTCAGAAGTATAATTCAGCATGCTAATAAGATTCAAATTAATTTTAGAACCAAGTGCAACTACATTCCTTTCTTCTCAAATGCTTGCCCTGTGATTATTAAGGAACATTCTGGAAAAATTAATGAGTGATAGCAGATCACAAAACAAAAAACAAGTGTGTTGCAGCACAGGTACATGAACCTCTTACCTTTTGGGTAAATGTCTTTCAGGGGCACATCTCCAGGTGCTAAAATTCGGACTATTTGATTAGAAGCCAATAAAGTAACACAATTGGTTTGTTTTGCAGTTCCGGTTTTCCTCTTGCCTCCATAATAAAGTGGATCAGAAGGAGAAGCACGTTTGTGACTCAGAGAGGAGTTTCTCTTCCAGCTATACACTTCACTGGGAGACTGCAAAAGAGAAGGTGTCTACTGAAGAAAACATCCCTATTATTGAATCTAAGAACACACACTTCTTGATAAGTTACACTTCTTATTTAATTTCCAATCAAATGTGGCTATTGTGGTTACTTCTTATGCTACCACATGAGAAGGAATGACCTGGATTATTTTGTCATCAAAAACTCCTACAGAGGGGAAAACCAACAAACCATCTACATGAGTTTTAGGCACCAAGATAGTTTGAAGATCTGAAGTTGAATTGACTTTTTTTTACTTGAACCAGGAACAGAAAGCATTGAAATAACCTGATTTGGAATCAAACTATGTAAAAAATCTATTAGGTTTCCACTAATATAGATAAGTGCAAATAGATATTCCAGTAATTAATTAAAAGATAAGCAATAAGGCTGGGACTTAGCTCCAGGTTCAGAGATTGAAGTGTAGGTCTCTACATGAAAGCCAGTGGCTTCACCTCCCACTATGGTTGAAAGAGTCTGGCGAAAAAATCATCTCCAAGGTCTCAGTGTTTGGTCAACTGAGCACTGCTATTACAAATAAGAGCTCAGATACCTTGTTCCCACTAAACACCTACACCACCAGCACGGAACACTGAATCTGAAGTTTTGCCCCATCACTCTTCCATTAACCCTTAGCACTCCCTCTTTGAAATTCACATGGACATCTAAAACTATGTATGAGGAAAGGTGGTACCGCATTCTAAATCAGGCAGAGCCAAAAATGCCTCACCACTAACACTGGTGTGTTAGTATGGAAGTGTGCAGCTTCTTTAGTACTCCCTCCTCTAGACCATCTCACTTTTCCAGCAAAAAAATCACATCTACTGTAAGTAATATGAACAGCTTGAATAAACCATCTGATAATATAAAGACAAACCAAGGAAAAATCAAAAGCTAATCGCAAAGATGGTCTTATTGACAAAAACATATTTTTGAATAATTTTGGATTGCAATGAATTTTCTTCTGTTATTAGGCTTATTCATGTCTGTTAACAGTTACACTTTTTAATTTGCCCCAATTTAAAAAACAAACATGATATGCAATTATTTATTCCATAATCACTACCCTTTTTATGTACCATTAGGAGGCAAATATTAAAAAAGTCTAAAGAACTAAACACACTGCTTGTATTTTCCCTGAGTTTGCTTTTACTCTTTGCAACAGCCCTAGTCATTAGACTGCTAAGTTTCACTTTCTTTTCTGCTCTTTTTCTAACTGTGTCATGGCAGTGAGCACACTTACAAGTAGTATTTACACATAACTACATTATTCAGTAGTAAAGAGGCTTTATAGCTTTGCTATAATTTTCTGTATTGTTTTTTTCTTTTTCCTTCATCTAGTCTTGCTACCTGCTGCACACTGGGCAAGAAGTTCACACTGAACGGTTCAAAATTATATAGACATCCTTTTTCTCAGAGGTTATGCTTAATTAAAAAACTGTAAAAATATATGATTTAGAAAATATTACTCTAGCCAGCACTGTTCAGAGCTTACTAAAAATGCATTTTGTCCATGCTAGACATTGTATTGTCCCATTTCTTATTACCTAAAAAACCACCTATATTCCTCTAGATTAGACTACCATAACAAACAGTGTACACTACATGAATTTCTCCCTTGCTGTCATTCCCTTATTTTTTCAAATCATTTGGTAAACAGGTACTTAACGGGTTGCAGAATAAATGAGACTGTATTATTTCACTGTACAATAATGCTGAGTATTTACCAAGAGGTCTGGGAAACCAATGACAACAGTAGCATAATTATGCTCATCTGAGAAGATCCTGTTGGGGGAGCTGATCTTTTGTCCCACAGCTGCACTGAGGTTTTCTGAAGATAGCTGGTCAGTTGAAACTGCATGAGGCACACACAATTCAGACACTAAAGAGGAAAATTCAACAAAATGAAAGTCATTAAACCCAGATGTGCAATAGGAAATGATATTAACTGTAAGAGTGCTGAGCATTGAATATTGGCTATTACTTTGAGCATAAAATTACTAAAAAGAAGAAGATCTGATTATACTATACTATAACACTTAGGACAATGAAATATTCCTATTTTTGTAAACTCAAGTACTTAAAATCAGGAAATACTAGCTTTATAGTTGCTTACACCACTTAATTTTGCTCTCTGCTGTACAAATGAGGCAGGAAGCCTATAGAATTGAACAAAACACTATGTATTCTCACTGAAAATTGTTATAACGCAAATGCACCAGAAGGCAAAATATAGGTCTGCACATGTAAGTGTCAATGTGACATTTCTTGGTGACTCTCTTGCTGTCTTTGTAATTTAAATAATGTAATTTGTAATTTGTAATGCATTTCTCTTGAATAATGGTTTGCTTTCCTTTGTCTTTAAGCTAAGAAAAGCTGAATTTTATTCTGTGCACCTGTGAAAGCCCTTAACCTTGCCTTAAATTACCAACACAGTCCTACAGAACCTGCTATCTTTAGTTCTGCACTGCTTCCACTTTGATGAGCCCAAGACTATCTTGTTTACATGGCAGTGGGAGAAATCTTTCCTCCCTCAAAGGATTAATGGTCTGGATCAGCATAAACCGACACTGGTCTACCTTTTTTTAGCTCTCCTGCCACAGATTCTGCCTCAAAGAAAAAGAACAGACTGAAGATGCTACATTTGGGGTTTGCTGGATGATTTGGAAAAAGGTGGACAGGGGATATGATAACATTTCAGATTGGAAGAGAAGAAACAAGATAACAAAGCATAAAAATAGCACAGAAAGCATGCAGCAATGACTGCCCACAAACAGTTTGAGACTGGAAATTATAATAACATTTCTATCCATCTGAGGAATGATACTCCAGAATGGTTTCTAAATAAGGTAGTAAGAGGAAGGAAACTACTGTGCTCTGATAGTACTTGATAAGCTGGTAGAGTAAACTGTACAAGAGTTAAAAAGTATTCTGGATATTTAGGCTATGGTTAGTTTTTAGCATCCACCTGGTTGCTGTTTATGTAAATGAAGCCCTTTTATTTGTCAATAACGTTTGTATCATGTTTACACTGTGCTAATCTCATTTTTCTTATTTATGCTAGCCACAAGAACCAGAACAAAACTTGTTCCTTCTTTATGAGACATAGAGTGGTTTCTCTGTTTGTTTCCTCTGTTACTCTGATATATACTGACCAAAGCCTATGAATCTATGTTAGATGGGATGCACATATACTTCCAGTCTTATTAAACCAAGCACTCTAAAGATTTTGTGCATTGCGATTAAATGTTCAGGGTTGAAAATGTTATCAGATTTGAAGATAGACAGATCTTACCAGGCAGAATGATGATCATTGCAGACTTCTGCCTTACTGTGTAACTAAGACATGCCTCAGTGCCTAGCACCATCTGGGAGTTTTACTGATCAAACTCTCCCTATCTATCTTTTAACACAGGTGTGATGGTCCCAATGGCCTCCTGCATACTATCAACAGAACCACAGAAATGTGACTTCTGCTCTGTTTTAACAGTAGGTGGTTTGTATTTTTCTAAGAGTTGGGAAGTGTTTTCTACCTCATCTGAGTGTGAGCAGCAGACCTGCAACAGTCTACAGTCTGGAATCATTAGTATATTTGTTCCCTTCTTTTCCTGTTCTAATACCTGCCTAGTCATCTTTCTTCCTTTTCTATTCTATGTGCTTGTCTGTTTGCTGAAAGTCCATGACTGAGGGTCTTGAATACTCGAATGAAACAAAAATGCTTTATTCAAACCACTTGAAGTTTGAGTATGGAATGCACCATGCCTTGAGAAAAGCTGTTATTATTAACCAAACATGATAAGGGGGCAAAAACAGAATAGGAGAGACGGTTACTCAGACCTTTAGAGAGTCTTGTTTGTGCAGCTGCAAACAGAAATGACAAAATAACAAAAAAAAGGAACTAGCCAAGCTTGCATTCAGTACCTGTTGTTAAGCCAAATCCCATGTCAGCTGGCTCTTCACTCAATGCATGCAGCTGGCAAACCTCACTGCCTTGAGCCTCCATATGGGCATGCTTGGTTAAAAGAAATTTCCTGTGAAAGATACACATTTATAATAATTCCTGATTAAAGCTGTCACTCTAAACAAGGACTTCTATCTTCTGAAACATTGAAAACATTCCCCATTTATATAAACAAGGTTATCAACACCTTTTGCTAAAACCAAATATAATTTCCCAAACGTGTGAGATAGGAAAGGGTAAGCCAGCAAATAGCAGATTTGTCTTCTGGCAACTATTTACACACTTTCATTTGCTGTGCATTTATAAAAATGAGACAGCAGAGTAATGTTTCTTTCATGTGACCATGAAAGTAAAGTAAGCAGGCACTAACTCTGGATTACATGCCTGTATCTCCTGAGATAGGTCCACCAACATTCTCATTTCTAAAGGTCAATATCACCTTAGTAAAATTAATATTACCACATCTATGATAGTTAGACTTTCAGAGGCTGGAATATCCTCTTCATTTCCTACCATAAAGTCTATTTGAATTTTCACCACAGCATCTTAAACACCAACTTTTTAAGTCCAGCCAGCTTCACAAACAGAAAAACACAAGTTTGAGACCAGAAGTGAAACTCCTGAACACAAATGAGACACAAACAAGAAATAATGCCATTGAGAAAACCAGGCTGAACTAACTTATTTGTTTCGTTTTCCACCAAGAGCCACCGGTCTTCAGCCACCAGGAAAACAGATTTCAAACTGATTGGAAGTGAGATGGTGTGAGTTTGACCCTCCAATACATCCAGTACAATAAGGTGGTTTCTATAAAATTGGAAGTCAAGAAAAGAATAATCAGTTAGGGATATACACAAGGAGATCTGATTTAAATCAATTTAATATAAGAATATCATTTACTCTTACCCTGCTTCTTTGTAGAATACCAGCCAGTTTTTGTGTGAAAACTCTCGGCACATTTTGTAGTTGTTCTGTATAAACATACATCATAGGACAATCAGTGTTAGATTTGTCCCAGTGAGTTTCCCTGACTCCTCTGAAAGTGTGCTAGTTTTTTTTCATTTATTTAGAAGAATCCACAGCTTTAATTACCTCTCAAAATGCTATCTAGCTTGCCTTGTTCCAAGTCATAAATTGTATCATAATTGTGTTCATTATGTTGGACATAATTCATTGTAACAAAATGTTCCATTACTTCCAGTTTTAGCCCTAAAAAGGGATATTTTAAAGACACGTATCTTCAGAAAATTTATTTTTATTTTTTATGTCACTAGTCCATAACAATGATATTTTATGTGTAAGACATTTACACATACCTAAGAGTAAACAATTGAATAAATGCTTGGGCTGTAAAACCAGGAAAAACTTAAATGATCCTGTTTTTCCAATACTGACATTTGCTTTCAAAAAAACTTAATATAATAGGGGCAGGTGCTATTCCTCACCTTCTCTTCCTTGTTGTTCCACCAAGATGTTCTCTTAGGAGAGTCCTGAGCATCTGGTGAGAGCAAAAGTCGGCGAAGGGCACCGTTGCTTGTATCCAGCAACAACACAACATTGCTCTGAAAATGAAAAGCAGATCCATGTTCGTCTCAGGCTTGTTTAAGAGACTGCAAAAAATCTATCTGAAGCACTTTTGGAATTTGAGCCACTTATGGCATACTGAAAAGATGATTAAGATTTTGTTGCAAAACGTAAGCTGGATTTTCTTGGTTCATTTCGAAGTTCATAGAGAAACTGAAGAGGTTAAGTACATGCAAGGGCTGGAATGATACTACAGTTTTTCCAGAGCATTTTATCTATACATCTCACATTCACTTCTGCACAACATCTAGAAACTGGATTAGTATGGCTTACATGTCTAAGATCAGCTACAGATAAGAGACATACCAATTAGCTCTGTCAAGTCACTAAAATACCTCATTTCAGTTTTTATGTTTTCTTACCATTTTTCTGTTGTACCTATTGCTTAAGTCCCACTGAAGGTGACCAACTGGTGAAAGAAGAAATGGCTTAGTACTTTCTCTCCAAGTTCGTACTTCTGATACTGTGGAGCCTGTGGATATTAAATATCCCAGGGTGTGACAATCCTTCTGTGACCTGCACTCTCTGACAGCTTACAGTGTCAGAGGTAGGACAGCTGTTGGAGGACAGCAGGATGACTCAAAAGGATGGAGACCAGAAGCAGATGGGATGATGCAAATCTCCATCACATGAAAAATGGTGCGCTAAATTTTAAACTTCAGATTTCTCATTTGTTACTTGATGCCTAAGGGTCATACATGCTATTAAATGATGGGGGCTTTTTAAACATTTCTTTTTACAACGTGCTATAGCTGCTCCTAATGTGTTTAACTAAGAATTCAAGACAATAAGTGTTCAGGGCCAGCCTTTAACCGCATCAAATGAAATTCAAAAGGTACAAATGAATAAGTTAATTAAGCCTTGGGCTCAATTTTTTGTTTGCCATTCAAGGAAACGTTCACTTCTGCAAGGACATTAGGTTCTGCAAGGACTTACTAAAAGTAAACTGCCTACGTACAACATGTGCAATAACGCACAATAGACGTTAAGGAAGTAAAACGTAAATTCCCACGAATTCCCCTAAATAAAACAAATATGAACAATCTGAGTCACAGCAGTTTTGTTCTCTTTGGGTACTCTTCATACTTTCACTGGAAATATTTGTGAGAGTTAGCTTTAATAATGACAGTAATTTGAAGCTAAATATGGTAAAGTATTTGAAATATTATCATGTTATTTGGAGCATTTGGGAATTTCAGTTCAAGTTCAATATTTCTAAAAAAAGAAGCTTGCTTATGTATTACAAACTAAAATTATAGAAATGTGATTCAGGAAAAAAATAGGACATTTGCTTGGGATTTTGATTTTCTGCCATATTTCATTTATACAATTCTGAAAAAGCATCAGCCTTCCACGTGAGATAAAGAACACATATGAATCAATTACACTCTTCCACTTAGTGTTAAATTTATGAAAGCAGTTGGTAGTATAAAAAGCTTCTCTACTCCACCCCTTTTGATGTTAATGGCTTCCTTCTGTGCTAAGTGACTGATGTATATTCTGTCTGTGTTTAAGAATAGATTTTTGCGTCACTTGTGAACACATTCAAGAGCAGCTCTGGCAACTCTTCAAGTGGGCTGGGAGAAGACGTTGGTGTGCAATTCTGCTCTGTTTGTTCTTGACTGGGAGAAAAGTAACCTTTGGGTGACCTCCCAACCCCAGTGTCTGGAATTCCAAACTCTGGACAGATGCAATAACCAATCTTGTGGTGTGCCTTTATTTTTAGTTACTGCAAAGTTTCCCTTTCCTTAGTGCTGTTTTTATTTCAGCCAGCATTTTCCTCTAAAAAGTTCTTAAACCAAACAGGACTGTGACTTCATTTTGCTGATATGGGAAGTTGTTCCTTATGGTTTTGCAGAGAGAGGGTAGAGCTTGGGGAAGTTTCAGAGTGGCACAGTGCAAATAACTCAGTTTAATGTTCTTGTATTCTTCTCCCTAAACTCACTGTCAGCTTTGATCTGTTCTGCCCTCAATGCTCATGTTCTCAGCAAGCAAACTTGCATATACAGTCTGCTTCAGACTGAGGCTGATCCTTAGCTTAGCAGCTTAGCATACATCCTCTCGCCTCCTGTCCCACCTTTTCTATTAGAGCTACTCAAGGATCCCTTGAGTGATAGAAACATTACAACCCTGTGTCATGGTTTGAGCCTGGCACAGAGCCAGTGCCCCCCATGAAAATGCCTTCACCCTGGTGTCTGCTGTGAGATGTGACCAGGAATTCCCACTCCTTCCTCAAACCACCACACCCTGACACTGTAAATCATAGGAACAGATACAAACATTAACACACTGTTCATCAGGTTCAGTTGGAAAAAGTCTGTGCAAAAATGTATGGCTTGGGGCACAAACCATCACATCTTCAGAGGTAGGGAAGTATTTACAAGTATATTACTGGTGTTCTAATTAATGCTAGTAGTGTCTTTCAGATGATTTGGGAGACGGCATTCGATATTTCAGTGAAATAAGAACAAGGAGCGGCATAAGCTTTGTGCTTATAGAAAATAAGCCTTCTCCCATTCTACAGAAGGTGCACACATTTCTATATAAGCAGACCTTTACTATGATGTGTACTCATAGAAAAGGAAAGTCTTAAATAATATGAAGAAAAGAACCAGTTTTTGAAGAAAATCACTCTTTGTTCTGAAGACATACATCAGAATATCATGGGGACTGGAGGTCACAGAAGTTACTATGCTACTGGTACTTTCATATTCAGATCCTCATTTGTGCTACAGGCCAGATCACAAACTATTAAAAGAAGTCTTTTAAAAAATGGTTGCCATCTCCTACATGTGAGCGAGGTGAGTGAGGTGGATCTCTGCGTCAGTTTCTGTGCCACAGACTCTCTCACTCCCTTGTTATCAGAGAGCTTTGACAGAACTGCAGCAGCACGTGGGACGGGGAAAAGCATTTCCTTCCCCCCCACCCCACTTCCTGACCAAGAAAGATAAAAGCAGAGTTAAAGGATGCCAACAGAACACTGCCTGAACAAAGCTTGTTGTGCTCCCTGAGGTAGCCTGTAGGTTACTTTGTTTGTCCAGTTGCGGCCTTTCAACACAGTAAAGTGCTTGTAAAAAGTCCTGGAATTGTGCTGTTAATTTATGAGCAAATCAATTCTCCATGCGCAGTTTGCTCCTAAAACCCCACATAAAATCATGCACAAAAAGGGCACAAAGCTCTAGCAGGAAATACGAGTAGGCCCTGAAGTACTTGTGGGGAGGACAGATGGCAGAGGCATTGCTCCTTTGAAAAGATGAATGCAATTCCCATCTTACAAAGTTACTTGAGATTTCTGCAGAGTCCTTTCAAAGTCTATGAGTTTATTCTGAACAAAAAGATAGAGTCAAAAAAGCTTGCACTCACTGAGACCAATGGCCACCATGAGGAATAAAATCATCTACCCCTTCTTCCAAGAAGATGTAAATGTGGCTTAAAATCAAATAAATCTCCCACTTGTGCCATTAAGTTAAATCCCTGAGGAGTTTACTTTCAGTAAATTTTTATTTAAAAGGACAGGAAGAAATGGTGATTTTTCATTTTATTTTACTGGAGGGCTCTACTGAATCTAGATGGATGTTATCTGGGAACAAGATAAAACCCATAAGCTTATTTGAAGAGCCACAATATAATAATTCCATCTTTTCCAATAAGGTTATCATCCATTTAAAATAATTCTTTTTTATAACTTAGTCAGAAACATTAATCTCCAAAGACCTTTATTAAAAGAAAAAAATTGAAAAAGCTGCTTTTGGTACTGTCTAATTAATGGATGATATTGATTATTATGAAATAGCAACTGTCAAGTGGCCACTTTATTTAATAGATGCAAGTTATTTTTTTATAAATATTGTTAATACTTCTTAGTCTTTTTGCAACTAAACACAGATGAATCTCTAAAGCATTAGAGATTAGCATGTTATTTATATTATTTGTTTTTCTTGTTTTGTTTGATGCACTGTGGCACAACTAGCTAATGCTCGTAGCCTTGCTCGAAATGCAGATGTGCCACTAATCTACTTTTCTTAACAACATGTGAATTCTTCAAGTTCTGAGTTTATGCCTGCCCATGATCCTAGTAGACCTAAAATGTAGGCACCTTGACTATATGTCAAGCCTCCTTCTGTAGCCAGTGGAAAGAGAGACGAACTTCCAGAGGGCAATTAAACATGTTCTACTTGAGCTGAGAGGAAATGCTCTTCAGGTCACCTCTGTTCTCACAGCAAATACAGACGGTACTTGGATGATTATCCTAGGCCATATGCTTACCTGCTAACGTTAATAATAATGGATTAAATTTCATACACAGCAACATCCACCTGAGATCACAGGTGCACAGAGCACACGGTTTTTCCATGGCTCCACTGTAGGAAGAGTTAGGAATAAAACCTAAGCTCTATGTATAAAAATTACACTGCTTGAGAATCTCTCTTGTGATTCAGTGGGAACTAGAGATCTCAACACTTGAACCCCAACATAAGGAAGGTCAGCAGTGGCTGGGAAAACTACAACAGCAGCACTCATCTAACCTTTGTTTTAATGGCTCACTTAAGAACCACCCCAAATAAATTACCAATGTAGTCCATGGATATGAGCATGCAATATACAAGAGAATAATCTTCCTTCTTTTTTTGTTTTCTAAGTTGCTTGTTTAAGTTCTCAAGAAATCTAAAATTACTTTTGAATGGTGTCCTAAGAATAGGATTTTTTGCAAACAAGTTTGTAATTAAATGAAATGTATTTTCACAAATAGTGAATAAGATCTACCTTAATGGTAAAAATATGTCAAAAGTTCTAAGATAATGCAAAACATTCAGAATGTTTTGATTCTGTATTATTTTCCTGTGTAAACCAAGCTTATTTACAGACAGGATATATTCACCTGTAGCACTTGCCAAGAAAGGCAAGTCTGAAACTGGCATAATTTAAGCTTTGTTAGAGAAAAACATGAGGTTATAGCATGACTGAAGTCATCTGGAAAGGGACACTGAACTACCAAAGTCTCTCCATGTCACAAATTTTATTTCAGAGTCTGAAAAATGCATCTATTGTACCATCACTAAAAGGTATATTCCATGAGGACAGCCAAAACCAGACTCTGAGATAACACCTTCACGGAAGAACCTTCATTTCTGACACCAGATGCTACTGTGATTTGGTTAAAAACAAAATGGTAGGGATTTTGGATATTTGGAATGCAAAGAATATTGCTGGCTTTATATTAAAAAGTGTGAGACATTCTAAACATTCTTAGATGGAAGACAGACTGCCATCTGTTTTAGTTTCCTGCACCAACTTCTCCAAAGGAAGCCAAGAATTATTTAGAACAAAAAAAATGTGCTATGTGCACCTCAAAATAGCCCAAATAATATTTCTATAGCTGTTCAACAAGAAGGTAAGCTCAAAATCGTACTGTTTCCAGTTTGCATTGGAAAGGATCCAAAAGGCAGCTGCACCTGCATAGGCAGTTCCACCAAAGGCAGAAGAATTGTGTTTCTCATAAGGCACCGAGCTTAATAGCAGCATCTGACACCAGAAAGTAGCAGCAACACTTGACAAATGTTGCTAGAACAACAGCATTACAGAAACACTAAAAATGACTGAAAACTATGAACATCCCAACTCAATGTAGGAAGAATTCTTCTACGTTGAAGCCTTTCACCTACTGAAACATTGATAGAAGAAATTCAAAGAAAGGAAAAAACAGTCAACAATAATGACTGATTTAAAGCCCATATCAAACCACAGTGAGTTCTAGGTAGCCTAATAAACTATTTTTAATGTTAAAAAATGAGCGGTAGCAGCAGGTATATACTGTTGCCTCTTCCCACTCCTGGGCAAAGAAATTTTGAACTGAAAATGTTACAATCAGCTCACAGATAGTAAGGGAAAGTGTAAAGTATGCAATAGTTGTCTTTAAAAAAGCATTCAAGTCAAGCCAACCCTGTTATAGTAACTTCTCTGAGCTAGGTCTAATAAGCTTTTGGAGGTCTATAACATATCCAAGATAGCTCAGCTACTCTTGGAGGCATAAAAATCAAAAAGGTTTAATAGCAGGCAAAATAACAAACAAAGAAAAACTGAGCTAGGTGCAGAAGGTTTTTGCTCCTGGTAAAACACCTTACAAAAGCGATTAATTTCTTTGTTCTCTTCTTTTTCTACTAAATTGCTCAGCTGGGACTTTTTGGCTCTTGTTCAATTAGCTATCCTTAAATTTGAGGTGAAGTCCCCATGACCTATGAAGTGGCTTTTTCACCCAATTGAAAAGAAAAACTTCTAGGCTTCTTTTCTTTTTGAGAGAACAAAGGATAGTTTGTCACTCCATCAATAAAAAAAATCACATTCCTAAACACCATTGACATTGTTATTAGTTCTCTATTTGCATTGTGGATGTCAAGGCTTACTTAGTCTTCCTTCTAGTCTTAACACTTCACAGGTTAGAGAAGAAGATATACAAGGATTAGAAAACAAATATGGAGCAAATACAAGCACCATTTTACTTGGTGATTCAGAAAATGTCTCTTTTATATACTAGTTGAAAAGTTAAAAGGGGGACAAGATTGGAGTAGAATTTAAGTTCCCATAAAACATTTTACTCTGCAAACATATGCTGTTTGACTGAGACTCCTGAACTTGACCCACTCTCCCCTGTTCTCCCACAAGCCCAATCTCCCTCTATCAGTAAGGGAAGATAAGCAGGTAGAATTCAGCTTCAAGAATGGAAAAGGACATGGTCCAGCTAAAGGATGCAAGAGGAAAATCGCCATTCGTGTAGCTTGAGAAGGCAACTCTCAAGCTACAAGTACAGTAAAAGAGAGAACATTCAGCAGGAGGTGGCCTTGTCCAGTCTACAGAGGTAGTCCCCAGTGACATACCCTCATGATACTACTCTGCTCATGACTAAACATTTAGCTGGAATTTATTTTTTTTTACCTCCTCTTCATGTAGAACCACTTGACCTTTAAGTGGATTTCCCAGTGGTGCTGCAGTCACAAAAGGTTGCCAGACACTTCCAACTGTTCTTGGGAAGAGGTCATAAAGATCCACAAAGTATCCAGTCTTACCAGAAATGTTCATGAAGTATAAGGAAACAGGATTACATGTAGTAACATAAAGAATATTTTTATGTTCCTCTTCTGAAATAAGAAAACAAAATAGTGAAAGGCTATTGACATTGTGCATTCTTCCTCTGGAAAGAGATGTCATAAACTTGGCAGATGATATAGCAAAAAGTACTGAAAAATTACCACTGTTGACAAGGAAGATAAAGAGAAATGATCTCTTGATATTAAATAAATGTTAACAGGCAGAATCTTGCCACAGCACTATTAACTCTAAGCAGGCAGTCCAAGACACATTTGTGTAGGCATGATTGCAGTGTCAGCCAGCTGCTAGTACGTTTCTCTGATTTTGCTGGTTTATAATCTTCTTTCTTCTTTTTTCTCTATCCTATCCCATCCTCTCTTTAAATTCATGTATTTAATAATTAAACATAGTACATTGTGCAAACAATATACAGAACTTTTCAAATAAACCACCTGCCTGAATAATTTCAGACAATTCTTGAAACCAATAAAAAGCTACCTAATTTCTCTTTTGTTTCTATGAAAACCTGCTAATTTACTTGTAAATTGGACTGCAAATAGAAAGAGCAGCATTCCAGTATTGATCATTAAAGATCTGTACATAATACATAATAATGTCTAGACTGATGCCTTGGAATGGCTACCTAGAACAGAGGCTAGACAGATTTAGAGAATAAAGCAGGTATTTATTAAAGGCCTTTAACAGACACACCTTGGACAGTGCAAAAGCCTTGCAGAGGCTATACAAGATGGACAATGGTCACGAGATTTTCAGGCAGATATGTTTTGTCTATTTGCATATCAGAGGTTAATTGTCCAACTTAAGCTTCAGGGAATGAAGTCATATTCCCCCAGTTTGCTCCTTGCCATATACTTTTATTTATACTTTTCAATGCCTGAGGCTGTGAGGGTGGCCTTGGTTCTCAGGCCTGGAAGGATTGTTTTGTCTGACCAAAATGGGAAGAGAGCTTACTAACACTCTGCATGGAGTTCAGAGTTATACACTAATGCAGTACAGGATCTGAAAATCATTAAAAGCTAAAAACTTAAGGCATCATGACATGCTTAATGATGAACCCTAAAAACGTTTATGAATATTCCCAATGGTGCAATTCCCGCTGGCACATAAGCTATAGAGGCAGCTAAGGCAGGTTTGGTCCAGTGAGAAAGAATCAGTATAAGCACAGATGAAAAAAGCACAGCACTCTCCAAGTTAAAAGATTTCTGTTAAAAGTGAATTGAGAGAGGAAAAGTCAAAGAATTGTTTTTGTCAAGTAGCGCAGGGTTGAACACACAAACTTAACAAACTTGCAGATTTGTGGCTGTGTTCTACTTTAATTACACATCTTTCTCTTAGCTTGAGAAAGATGCATATCCTTACAATGACCACACTGACTCAGTGAAATTTTGCACCAATGTCAGTGGATTATTTTTGTATTTCACCTACTATTAAAAACAAAAAAACGTGGAAAAAGGTAAGTTATTATTCCTACACTCCCATACTCTATATTTTAATTCTCATATTACAATTCCTAGTATTATTCCTATACTCTACCGCAAGCATTTCTAAAAATACACACACTAATGTAAATGCACTGGAGTGTTGTTACTACACTTGAAATCCCTCATATTGCCCTATAATATTCTGTCACTGGCTATTGGCAAGGACTTAAGAAGTCAACAGCCCAGGACATCCTCATCTTCAGGACATCTCACCTCTTTGTAATGCTCCAGATCATTACAAAAGTCAGTAGCTTTTCTTACTGTACCTTTTGTTACTGTGACATCACAAACCAAGTTAATTTCATCCAAAGGCAATGTCCAAAAAGCAAGTTCTTCTGTGAAACTGATGGACCTGGCTTCATGTCGTTCCAGTGGAAAGCCTTGAATATTTAAGTACACAGGGCCCTAAAACAAATAATAACCAAGAGGGCTTCCTAAAATATTCCACTCCCCATTCTTTATGAAAATACAGAAGTCTTCTTAATGCTGTAAAACTATTAACAATAAAAAACCAGTAAATAATTTTATATTTATTACTAAACAAATTAAAGGGAATAAGAAATGCCTTTTATATAAACTCTCTGAATGTCCACACTACCATTTCCTTTACGGTATAGAAACCTCGTGCCTCTCCTCTTTAGTCTTTTCATGGTTTGGAACCATTATCACTTAGTAGCATGAGGAGACAGCATGTACTAATGAAACACAGTTTATACAAGGAAAATACCAGAATATTTCTGTTTCAAAGAAATTATATGGCAATTTCTTGTTATATAAAGTTTAAATCTCACCCATACAGCACATTAGCAGTACCGGGTTTTCCTTACTCACTGGAGTAATAATTACTGAAGTTAAGCCAAGAATTCAGAGCTGAAAAGGATTTAGAAACTTTGGCTGCAGATCAAATGGTACCAAAGGTTCAGATTCAAACTTGCCAGTGCCAAAGACCTGTAAGACTTCAGCTGCAAGCAAAACAGGAACAGAAAGCAGCCTTCTTTTCAGCCACTGAATATGGCCAAAAATTGAGATCTGGGGCCTGTAACTGGCCACCCCCAAACATCCAAGACAGCTACAAAGTTTCTTCAGATAAGGTATTTTCAATATCTTTATAAATACTTTTTTTCAAGAACTTCTGGCCAAGCTTCATGGTTTTCAAGCATATCTTAGACTGTGACAGCTAGGTATATGAAAATGGTAATTTTTCTAGTCAGTGTAAAAACTCCAAGAACAAGCAACAAGGACCATGCCTTGTACACACTCTTCTTCCTGAAAAAATTAATCACATTTTAGACTTGTCACAACCCAGTAAATAAAACCAGTATTATATAAATAAAAAATAATTTAAAAGACAAACCTTTACTTCTATTTTTTGAGTTTCTGATGGACACAGCATTTTCTTTTGTGCATTTCCTGGCTGATCGACTTTCCAGTAGCCCATAAACTTATGATCTGGTAATGGCAGTCTGTCAAATAATGTAGGAACAAATGAATTTTTACATTTATTAACCAGTAAGTGATATGGAATAAATAATTTAGACAACCGCATTTTTCCAACAAAATATATCTGTAGACTCTCTTGCAGAAAGTGTTTTCTTGCTAAAATATTTTATTCCTTTTTACATTTTAAATCACAAAAATGTTAGTCTTCTGGACTACTAATATAGACACAATCTAAGCAGTATTATAAAAAAAAAGCAATGTATAATATGGCCTCAAAAGGAAAAGTTCTCCAGTCTGAATTATGTGAGCTATATCCAAACCAACTCTTGCTTTGCTTTATTTGGATCAGGTTGTGCCAGCACCCCTTAAAGGAACTTCTGTCAGTAGCTCACTCTTCTGAAAGACCAGCAGAAAAACCACAGTAAGCTCTGTTGCTCATTAACCACAAAAGAAAAATTATTTCTGTTTATTTTACCACCGCTCAGATGAAAAAAGGCAAAGGAATATAGACATCTCATTGCCTTCTGGCCAGTACAATCTACAGAAAGGACTAAGACATCTTCAAAAGCCACATTTGCTTGCCTTGGTTTAATTTCCTCATTTCTGTATCTTTTATCTAAGGAATAAATATGTGGACCACAGCAAAACTGATTTATACAGGAAAAGAAAATGCTGATGTGTGACAATCTAGCATCACAGCAAAATACAGACAGTGCAATTTCTCTTTCTTTCCCCTGAAGTGATTTACAGCCACTGAAAGCAGTTTGACTTCGTTAATTGGCACAGATACCTTCAAGCTAATGAACTCATCACTTCTGGCTTTTTCTTTTTGGGACCAATCACTCCTAAAGAGAGCTCCTATCAAAACAGCATTCTGTGTTACATGCTGTTGCACATTATTGCACAGCTACAGGACTTGGCAGGAGAACAGAAGACATTCCTTCTCCCAGTTTCTATAAATATCTTCAAAGTCTATTTTAAGGAAGTTCTCTTAGACTGTTTGTTAGAAGTATCTGCTTAGTCCCTTCTGTCCTATCTGATGATGCTTGTTCCTACTCTTACAATTATTTTCCCTCTCCTCACCAACCAATCTGGCACTTTTAGATATTAGAGTATTGTTTAATTTCTTCTCTATATTATTTTCAGAATAAGAAGGGATCCCAAATAAAAAAAAAAAATCCCACATTAAAATATCACTTGGACTATATATAAAACTTAGAGAATTTTAGTTTTATTTTTCCCCTAAGAAATTATGGGAAAAGTCAGGGGATGAATAGAGATATCCCTTAATTTTTGCTACTCATTCAGGAAAGATGTCTTAACATTTCTTAATGATATATAAATTCTTAATAGATACCAAACCTCAAACAATGAGAAGCCAGAATTCGCAGGCATTCACTCAGCCTCCATCACCACTCTGTGTTTGGACCATCTGCCAAGGCAGTCAGACAGCCAAAGACACTGTTTTGCAAACAGAAAACGGTTTGGATGCTATTGATCACTGGCACTCACAGATAAATAAATGGCCAGCTGCCAGCAATGTGCCACTGGGGCATGTCATGAAGACAGAGTATCTCATTAATTCCCTCTCTTAGTCAAAGAACCAGGAGAATCTTCATGGCCTGTTTGTTGCCTGACTAAAAATATCAATAGATAAAAGTGTTTGCAGAGTGATTAATTTTGCATTTTTCCTCACTTCATTCCGCATTTTTCCATTCTTACACCTAGCTAGTATAGCCAAAATTGTTCCCAAACGAAGAAGAGAAATTGAGCCAGATTTAAAAAAAAATCCAAAACCAAAAACCCTCAAGTACATGAGGCTGTGCTTTTGCATGGCAACATTCAACACCATTAGGAAAAAACATTAATGATGCAGTATTTCAACATATGCAAAATTCTTAGATATATTTATTCATGCAACCAGAAAAACAGGCAAATGGTCAAGCCACTAGACTAAATGTCAGTTTAGATATCCATGAAATAGAATTTTACTTCAGGCTTCCATTTGGTTTTCTAAATGATTTGTTGGCAAAGCATTGTTTATGTCTTGAGCCACAAGCTGTCTTGTGTGCAAAAAAACCTTGGACACTTCTTTTTGCTCTATGACTCTGAATAGCATAATCCCTGATATGCCAATAATCAGCAATAGTTACTTCCCATTAGCTCAGTGGAACATCAGGATTTGGAACAAAGGATTTGGACTTTACTTTTAATTCCTTACAGTTTACTCCCATGGACAATATCCTAGAAATCAAGAACCTTAGTAATGATCATGAATAGCTATTAAAATTTGAAACAAAACATATGTTAATAACCACCTCAAACCAAACACCCTGCTTTTTATAGCAACAGAATTACAGATGGCATTCCCAAATAAACATTTCCACTCTCTTTCAGCTTTCTGGAGATTTTCTTTGCTAATAGTTCCTCTCTTCCCTCACGAAAACTGATTTCTAGTTTCTCCTAGATTTTTGAGGTTTTGTTCTCTTCCCTGTTTCTGAATGATTTAGTTTCTCTGAGGCAGCAGAGCTGGTCATCATAAATAGCAAAGAGGAGGAAAATGTAGACCTGAATTTCAGAACAATACAGAAAGCAGAGTTCACAATACAAAGCTCTTTGTCAAGAGTAATAGGGATCTCATTCTTTCCGGGCCTGACAATTATTTTTTCTTTGCTGTCCCACTGCTCTCTCATGTAAATCTGGTCTAAGAAAGACTAAGAGTATTGAAGAAGCTGGTGGCATTAAAGTCTTACAATCAGTCTGCTGAATGAGTTTCAGGAGGGAGTGAGGGTGCAGAACAACTGAAACAACATATTCACACTAAAAATGCGTATACATCTTAACAGCCTTCCCCTAGCAGATACATATGATACACATGGAAGTAAGGAAATTACCTTCTTTTCCCAGGACTTATAACAAGCAAATTTTGAAAATAACCTGAAGTGACAGAACTAGCAAAACTTCACTAGATGTTCCTGCCAAATTGCTGTATTGCAAATTAATTAACCAAATAGCATTTACATAAAAGGCAGATAGAAAACAATGGAAATGTCAACACTGGCAAAAATCTGTAAGGCAAACAGATCTGATAGGTATAAAAAGTGCAGTGGCTGAGTAAGAATGGTACTAAAACTTCACTGGTCTCTAAGCTGGGGTGTACAGAGCAATCCATGATTTTTGTCTTTTTCAAAAGCTGGAAAGGGTTTGTAGAACAGAAAAACTACAAGCAGACTACATTAATCTTGTAAGAAATCCAAGATTTAAGGGCAATTTCTAGAGAATTATTCCTGATCAGTTCTTCGATTATGGATGTGTCAAAGCCTGTTGCTTAAGAAAAGTTCAAAATTGTTTTTCTGTTTATTCACCCTTCATTTTAGATCCTGGTTTTCTACATGATTACTGCTGTCCATGAAATGTATATATAGGCAGGGTTCAGAAAAGTGATTGCACGAGACCTACAGTTGATGGGGCAATTCTACAAGAAATTACTGTTTAGCCTGAATTTCTGCATGCACAGCCATCAAAGGGAAAATGATCTGTCAAAACATAATTCTCTTGTGCTGCTAGAAAACTTTTCACAGTGACACCTATAGAACACAATTTCTTTCCATTTTATATTTTTGATTTAAAAAAAATAAATTCATTTTAGGATATTTAAAAAAAGAAAAACAAAACCAAAAAAACCAACCTAAATCACCAAACAACTGTGTTGAAAAGTCAACAGAACCTGTTTATAAATTTTTTTGTTTAGCTTTCAGAGAACATACTACAAGATGGATATGAATGTTGTAAAGTGCAGCTCCACTGAAAGCAAATTCTTCACTGCCAGACATCATATTAGTACAGCTGTGGAGATGAACTATGACATACAACAAAGCTGCTTAATATATGATCTTGTAAACCAGCTCAGTGCTGGCACAGAATGTATTATTCAAGGCCTCCAGTAACAGCCTGTGCTCCATCTAGCTGAAAAGATTTCCATCCCACGTAACCTTTTTGGACTCAAGTAAGCTACAGCTTGAAATCAGGAAAATTCCTTGCCAACCAGTTCTCCATAATTTATCCAAACATATTTTGATTTGAAGACATTCAGTAGATATTCTGAAACAGACATTCAGAACAGTTGTATGTTAAAACTCCTGTTCCCTGACAATTTCCCTTCCTCAGCTGGCCCTGCAACACACAGGGTTGACAACAGACATGTATGATAGGAGACATACGCAATAATTAACTACAGATTACCAGGGGGAAAAAAAGCCACATGAAAGTCTCAAGAGAAAAACAAAGCTAGTAAAATGTACATATTTACATTACATATAAAAAACCCAGTTCATATAAAACAAATATTGAATTTATAGGAAGCACCTGGAAGGGAATAGTGACAGGAGGAAAAATATGGAATGGCAATTTCATCAAGGATAAATGTCAGAATTAGGATTAAAGGCTGTTTTACCTAGAAATTGCAGATGGTCTGAACTGTGCACTGAAATGGCAGATTAACATGAATTTAGAAAAATATGACATAACAAATGTCAATGGGAAAAACAAAATGTTATTGTACACATAAAGAAAGAAAATGAGTTAGTACCATGAATAATTCATTTTACCTACTATGTCTTGGCAAACCATCATAGATAATCCATCTGCTTTACATACAATACTGATAAAAATCATAAAATAGTGGACAGGTGGTACCAGGAGAGACAGACAGTATTTTAACACCTAACAATACTGAACATGTCAGTACCTTGAAGAATGGTTATCCTACCTGGAAAAAAAGTGACAGCTGAAGAAAGCAAATAGACCAAGCAAAGCTTTCCTTTACAGGTCTAATACATGATATTCATTTTGCTAATAAATAAATTAACATCAACAAATTAATTTCTCTCTTTAAAAAACAACTAGTGCAAGAATCAGTCTGTAAATGGTCATTATATACCATCTAATCTTTCCTTCCAAGACTAGGTATATAATTTCCAGAATTTAATCTAAAATTCCTCTAAGGGTCACCACAAGCATCTGTTCAATTTTCCTTGGATTTCAGCAATTTCAGCTGGACACATACTTAAATAATTCTTCTATTGAGACCCTGTGTTGCTTCTGTGTCTTATGTTTTTTTCTTGCTATATTTACAGCAGTTATATTGCAGCAGCAATTTAAATAATTCTGATTTATGCAAGTTTTCTATTCGATTCAGTAATGGGTGACAGACTTCTCCAAAGCTCATTATAGGAATTCACAAATAATTCGATTCAAGGCATGCCAGAGAGCACCTGTGTAAAGGAGTCAGCATTTCACTATAACAATTTTCCTCCCCAGAACCTCCTGGAAATGCTTCTGTATCACAAAATTTAATTGTACTGAATTTGTATTCTTATACAACAATTTTGCTGTTGTATGATTAACAGCCTCAGGAAGAATTGGTTTGGAATACTATCCCAGTTTTCATGTTACTTAATAGAACTGCTGTGCAACTTATTATAATAGCTAGTAAGTCTTTAAAGTCTACTAAAAAAAGACTGGGGCACAAAAGACATCTGTGAGGATATGCTGTTGTTGCTGGAACAACATAGAAATCACACCTAGAAACCACACCTTCAGATTGCCAGCTTGTGAGAGTCTAGAAGCAGGTAGGAAAAACTAGCTTAAAATAGAAAGTGATATTGACATGTCATAAAACCAATCTGAAAAAAACCCAATACAGTAAGAAAAATGTAAGTGTGAAGAAAGTTGATCACATAAAGTGAAGATGGGATAAGTGCTATGGAGAGTTTTGCAAAAAGGATGTGGAGATTTATGTTTAGAAAACCAGAGATGAGTTAAATATGGCATGAAATGCAAACATTCTGAGCTTTTAAAATGTCAACACATTTCTATTCTGTACTCTCATACTACTGTACTTGGCTCCAGCAAAAATGAACTTGACCAGTTTCACAGCCAATACTTAAGGATGGACACACATCAAATGAAGACAAGAAGCATAAAAGAAAAATAAAACCAAACAGAGGCCTTAAAAACAGGGAAGATTGAGAAGTGACTTTCTAGTGCTGAGGTTATTTAGAAACAAGACTGACTTGCCTTGGGAGGTTATAGAACTTCATCTCTGAAGGTCTTCAGGCATGAACCACAAAAAAATGAGCTAAGGTTTTAGAATAACCTGCATCTTTTCTGAAGGAGGTGGGCTGGACTAAATTAACACCATTATCCTATTCTCAGATTCATGGAAAACAATAGAGAGGGCAGTACTCCAGTATCTTTTCTGCAGCAGACCAAACAAAATATACCAAATTACCTCAATGTGTCTGTCCATCATGGGAGATTGCAATATGGGCTGGAACAGATTTGGAGAGACTACCTCAATGTTCTTTAACCTCAAAGCAAAATCAACAGTGCCAAAACATGAAAGATGTGGCTGTAATTCAAGGTGATCTACCTGTGGCTTACATAGGAGTGAATCTCAGGACCAAAATCAAGGTTGTCTTACAATGCAGGGGTAAGAACCTGAAATGCCAGCTGTAGTGGATGAGAGTAAGGGATTGAGACCAAGACAGGTAAGTTGGACAGACCATCAAAGCCAAGTGCTCAGCCCAGCACAGTGAGATCTAAGAAAAAGTTGTTTTTATCAGCTGTGTGTGAACTGCTCCTGTATTTTCTCCTCCCCTGGGCGTTCAGTGTAAAAATTACGTGCTCACAGCTGCAGGTCTAGTGAAGTTTTTGATAAGCATCTTGTGGAGATCTTGTCTGTCATCCTTGGTGTAACCTCTCCTAGAAAACCTCAGTGATGAATTCAAAATGATCAGCTGATTATTTTTAATTCAATATAATTACATTTTTCTTTTCTCTTCTCACTTCTAGACTGAGCAGTCCCCAATTACAGCAATCTTTCTGTTATGTTTCCTAAACCTCCAATTGTCTCATTACTAAAGAATCCTCTCCCACACCTAATACTTCTAAAATTATACAAAGACAAAATTTCTCAAAACCTATAACAAACATTGTAATTAGTTAAAATAGAAATTAATAAGGTATGTTCAGCAAAGAAATTATAGCAAGAGTTTCAAGTGTGTTCTGTCAATTTGACAGACTTTGTCACTGCTCAAGTACTGGTTCCCCAAGCATGTAATAGTCCTGTCATCAAAATTAAAAGGCACACCACAGGCACTACCCTGCCAATCTTTTTTAATAATTAAATGTAGGATATTAGATATTATAACAGTGGTGCTGCAGGAGGAGAAACCTACACAGGGACACAACACCACAGAATGTGTAAGGCTGGAAAGGACCACAGTGGTCATCTGCTCCAACCTCCCTGCTCAAGCAGGGTCACCCAGAGGCACAGGGCTGCTCCAAAAGTTCTTGAATATCTCCAGTAAGAGACACTCCACAACCTCTCTGGGCAATTTGTTCCAGTGCTCACTCACCCACACCAGAATCACTATCAATACAACATGCCATAAAAATCAGTCCCTCCTTAGCAAGTATAAAATATGTATGTCATGTGGCAAACTCAGTTTTCCATATATGCATAAAGCTTTCTCCATGAAAGGGAAATATTTGTTTCTTCATAAATAAATTATGTATTAGAGCTCAAGACAGAGTAAGTTTTCTAATTATTTTTGAATATGATCTACTTAAGCCTGTTTTCTGTGAATTTTGGAAGAGTGTATTACATTTGCTTCACAGAATCATAGAATAGTTTGTAAAAGACCCTAATGATCCTCTGCTTTCAACAGCCCCTGCCATGGGAAGGGACACCTTCCACTAGACCAGGTTGCTCAAAGCCCTGCCCAACGTGGCCTTGAACACTTGGAGGGAGGGGGCATCCACAACTTTTCTGAGCAACCTGTTCCAGTGCCTCACTAGCCTCACAGTAAAGAATTTCTTCCTAATATCTCACCTAAACATACCTACTCTCTTTCAGTTTAAAGCCATTCCCCCTTGTTCTGTCAATAAAGGCCCTTGTAAAAAGTATCTCTCCAGCTTTCTGGTAAGGCCCCTTCAGAAACTGGGGGGTGGCTTGAAGACAGGAGGGCATTACTACCTAATGTAGCTGGTTGGATTCCAACCTCTGCAAAAGAAGTATATGGTGTAATATATCAACTAATAATATAATTAAAGAATGACAGTGATTTACAGACATATACAAAAGCTGTTTTTCAAGCTTACAGCTCCATTCAGAAGAATGCACTGCTCCATTCACAAGAAATGCTTTTGTAGAGCCCTCTGTAAACATCAAAGACAAAACCCAGCTACCACTGAAGACAACTTTTTTTCTGCAGACTTAGGTGATAAGTAACAGGACAGAAGTGTATTGCAATTGAATTAAAAACACAGGAGAAGAAACAAGTATTTCCCTTTATTAAGATATACCTGTTTACCTTACAAGCTATTAATATGTACATCGATTTTATAGATTAAATATTAATAATAAGCAAATACTCATGAAGTAACATATAATTGTAAATTATTTGGAAGATTATAAATTTGAACCAGTGGAGGATTGACTTCCAAGAATTCCAGGTTGTTTTAAAATCAATTGGCAGCAAGATAACACACTTATAAAGTGATCATGAGAAATATGTCTTCTTAATATATATCTTATGTTATTCTTACTCCTTGGCCAGCTGTACATTGGTTGGTTTTGCTCCAATAGGTATCCCATACTTGTGCAAAGTTTTGTATAAAATTTCACGCACTTCATTATTGTAGGAGTCAAAGTCAAACACGTTTCGAACAACATTTGCAAGTCCTTCAGATGGAAATTTCTGTAAAGAAACAGACCAATAACATTTCTTTTAGTTACTATCTATTAAGTAACAGCACATCATTATGTACTTTTAAAATAAGCAATTCTAACTTTGATTGACAGACAAGTTCTGAAGTAATCTTTACTTTTCATTTCCAGGGCATCATTTCAAGTCAGAGTGAAATTACTGACACTAAACTTGGTTTAAACAAAAAAAGGATGTGACAATTATTTAACACTAAACAACATCATTGGTTTAAAGAATTACTTTCATTATACACATAACAAAATGGTGTAATCATTGGAGAATATAATTAATACTGTTCTGTATTCTTAAAATTTGCTTTCTGTAAACCATGAAGATCTGATACTAAGACACACATTCATATAATTCACCCACACAATTAATTTAAGAATTCTGACTCTTAATGTTTAATAGAGAGAAGCAGATAATATACTGCTTAGTTAAAAAAAAAAACTATTTTAGGTCATGATGGATTTTAGTAGACACAGAAATTCGCTTAAGACCCGCAATTATTTTTTTCCTTAGGGAAAAATACTAGTTGAAATGTGCTATGTACATTTAAAAACCCCAAATAATTATCAGACTTTCATTACTATCCTTAGCAGAAATTAAAGTTGTGTTACTGTGCTGGATTGATTATTCTGAATGAGGAATTAAATGGTTGGATGTTTGCATCTAGAGGGTAGTGGTCAATGGCTCAAGGTCCCAATGGAGATGTGTGACAAATGTCAGTACAGACCAGGACTGTTTATTATCTTCATCAATGAAGATAATAATCAAGCAGGACTGAGCGCACTCTCAGAAAGTTTGCAGATGATACTGAGCTGACTGATACAGCTAACATGCTTGTGGGGTGGAATGCTGTCTGGAGGGCCCTAGACAGGTGGAGAAGTGGGGCCGCAGGAGTTTCATGAGGTTCAACAAGGCTGTGTGCATTGTCCTGCACCTGGGTTGGGGTAACCACTTGAATGAGCACAGGCTGGAGGATGAACAGAATGAGAGCAGCTCTGACAAGGACTTGGGAGCGCTGGAAAGTGAGAAATTGGGCATGTGACCTGGCAATGTCCACTTGCAGCCCAGCAAGCCAAATGTGTCCTGGGCTGCACTGCAAGTAGTGCAAGGTGAGGGAGGGGATTCTGTCCCTCTGCTCTGCTCTGGTGAGACCCCATCTGCAGTGCTGCATCCAGCTCTGGGGTTCTCAACATAAAGACATGGACCTGCTGGATTGAGTCCATAGGAGGGCTTCAAAGATGATCAATCAGAGGGCTGGAGCACCTCTCCTGTGAAGACAGACTGAGAGAGTTGCTCAGCCTGGAGAAAACTCTAAAGAGACCTTATAACACCTTCCAGTACCTAGAAGGGGTTATAAGAGAGATGGAGAGAGACTGGAAGGGCATGCAGTGATAGGACAAGGGGGAATTGCTTTAAACAGAAAAAGGGCAGATTTAGATAAGGTATTAGGAAGAAATTCATTATTACAAAGTAGTGAGTCACTGGCATAGGCTGCCCAGAGAAGTTGTGGATGCCCCATTCCTGAAGTGCTCAAGGTCAGGTTGGATGGGGCTTTGAGAAACATGGCCTAGTGGAAGGTGTCCCTTCCCACAGCAGCAGGGGACCAGAATATCTTTTAGGTGCTTTCCAGCCAAAAATATTATAGGATTCTATAAGCTAAAATAAGAGAAATGAAGAACTTTTAATACCAGAAAACCACTCAGAGAAACTGGTGTAATTGATTAAGAAAGCCACCGAGGTGGAGGACCCCAAGCCAGAGCAGTCATATGCGAAAGGAGGCTGTGATCTCTGGCTGTGAGAAGTCCACACTGGGGCAGGCTCCTGGCAGGACTTGTGGCCCTGTGGGGAGAGGAGCCCACACTGGAGCAGGTTTGTTGGCACAATGTGTGACCCTATGGAAGGGCCCCAGGCTGGAGCAGTTCCTGCAGAACTGCAGCCGGTGGGAAGGACTCACAATAGAGAAGCTCACGGAGGATGTCTCCTATGGGAGGGCCCCCATGCTGGAGCAGGGGAAGTTGATGAGGAGTCCTCCCCCTGAGGAGAAAGTGGTGGCAGAAACAACGTGTGAAGAACTGATCACAGCTCCCTTTCCCCATCCTCTTGTGCTGCTGAAGGGGAGGAGGGAGAGAAAGGCAGGAGTGAAGTTGAACTTGGGAATAAGGGAGGAGTAGGGGGAAGGTGTTTTAAGATCTGTGTTTATTTCTCATCTTCCTACTCTGATTTGATTTGCTATAAATTAAACCAATTTCTTCAAGTCAAGTCTGTTTTGCCTGTGACAGTAATTGGTGAGTGATCTCTCCCTGCCTTTATCTTGTTCTATAGGCATTTCATTATATTTTCTCTTCCCAGCAGAGGAGGGAAGTGAAAGAATATATTTGGTGGGCACGGCATGCAGCCAGAGTTAGCCCACCACAGATGCAAATGGAGCAAAGCAAATAAAAAGAATTTTAAAAAACAATTATCAACTTGCTGTATATCCTGGAACTTTACTGCCTGATTTATTTTATCCTTTTTTTTTGGCAAGAGATTGGAGTGAGAATCTTTCTATTTAAAAATGTCTCACTTTTTCTCCACAGGCCTTTCATTCAAATACTAGACTTTTCAGACAAGGACCTAGACACTTCCATCTCGGTATGGCACATTGACAGTGATGAACATAAACTTGTGGGGAGATATTTTAGGATGTTGTAGTCTTAATTGTTTTTCTCCCATTAGTGAGCTAGGCTGGTATGGAGAACTTGAAAAACAGACTTACATGTCAGAGATGTTTATAAATGTATTAAAAATACAGATATTTGAATCCTGATTCAAAAAATTAAACAGAAGAAAACAGAAGAATTTCAGAAATGCTTTGTTCTATACTCCTAATCAAATATCAGCATTAGGAGTTTAATATTTTCCTGACTTTATAAATATCTGATCTCAGTAATAAAATACCTGAGACACAAGCAATACTAAAATTAGCTAGTCACTGTGATAGACTAGAATACCACTGCTAAATTAAGCTTGTACAAACCTTTTTTATCTGTGGTGTACATGGCATAGAATATTTTAATACTAGTGTTGCTATAAAAGCATATTAAACTATGTTCTCCTTTTTAAATCTGTCTATGAGGGACCTATTAGAAGTTCTGCATCAGTACAGCTTAGCAAAATACAAGTTATTATGGGATAATATAAAATTGTTCTACAGCCTGCGCCATCCTTGTTACAACATCCAGTTCTAACAAAGTAACAAGTACAGTGAAAGAGGTACTAAACTCATTCTCCCATCACTTATTCTAACTAAACACTAAATGTATAAACATTTCATACATGAGGTGAATTGAAAAGTTCATGACAATGTTAGCAGTGAAAGTGTTAACTTCTACATTTTAATTGCTTCTTGGCTTAACTGACCAGTAAGAAGTAGAGAATAATCCCGAAACAAAATTTATATTATGAATACTGTGTTTTCTCTGTTCTTCTCAGTGAAAGCACAACCAACACACTGGCACCAAGCTATCTAATTTACTCATGAACTACACTTTCACTTCCCTGCATTAGGTATGGCAGAAACCTAGGTCAAGTACTTCAAATAATATCCAGTTTTCTCTAGAAGTCTCCAAGTATGTCTGCAGTCTTCAGAATCACTGCATAACTTCTGTCATCAGTACACTTTTCTGCAATGAATTGCATCAACAGTTCCATGCCTCTTGTGTCAGCTGGACATCATAAAAATTTTCCTGAGGTACAACAGATGGCTTCTGGGAGCACAAGCCACTTGTACAAAGGTCCTCTACTTCAGTAATTAAAAAAGTCACAACTCTCCTGCTTCAACCAGAACAAATCCAATCCCTCTTTAATAACTGCTTGGACAACTGCTTACTGAAGAAAGGAAACGACAGCTCATTTAAAGGGAAGAAAGAAAATTACAAGAAAACCCAAAACCCAAAAGAAGGGCTGACTGTTTGGGGATTGAACAGAACATAAAAAAAAAAAAAAATTGGTTTCTATTGATTTTTAAAATGAGATTACTGGAGAAAATATTGACCTCTTATCAGTCTGTCTGACTGTCATTCATTGATTCTTCCCCTTACAACTAACACTTCTGTATGTACCTTAGATTATTTTCAGAACTTAGATTCTTGGCTATTCCTTAAAATAGTAAGTAACAGTTTTTTGCTTTCAACAATTGTATATTTTTATTTGTGTATTGTGTGCTTTATTTGATGGAGAATTTGACTTGGTGAAAAAGCCATATATTTTTGGATCTAACATTTCATGAGGGTATGTACTGCTTCAGCCTGTGTAAAATCTATGAGCAAAATTGTGATTTCCAGTAGAAATCAAGATTCTTAATTCAAATATGCTATACCCATTGAGGTCTACCGTACTTCTACCACTGTCCTGAAATGAAAGTGATAAATTATCTGGTGTGTAGTCTGTAATGAGTCCAGACTTTTTGTTTTACATTTCTGCCTTGCGTTCTCAGTAACGCTCATTCCTGACATATCTTGGTGCCTTCAGATATCTGTTTGTTCCCCTGTGCTCTTGGTTCCCCCTGCACCTACCCCTACACCCTTTTACTGAATGTTGCCAGCTCTCTCTGTGCCTCCTCAGCTGTCCTTCAGCAGGGCCAGAAGCATCATGTCTATGGCTCATCCTGAGTGACAGACATACTAATGGATTAACCAGTACTCGTGTCTTTAGTGGGCAACATCTACTGCCAAACGAAACAGCTGAATTCTCCCCCTGCAATTTCAATCAGTTCCTCTCTGTCATACAGCCACTGTTTCTGATTAAACCAGCAAAAACCTAACTACCTTTGAAAATTGATAACTGAGATGCATTGTGACTGTCCAAAAGGGTAAAAGGTTATCAGGCACAAAGTGAGAAGGGGATATAAACTGTTATTTGATAAGCCTAGTTTCCTTTTGAGGTTAGGCTGAACATTAAAAAAAGGCACTATCTTACCACAAAAGCTTACTGAATAGGCCTTGAAACCTGATGATGAGTAGACTTCAGGGCCAGAAGGTTTCTTAGGCATTTACTGTTTGAAAACTGTTATACTAGTGCCCACCATTAGGAAGCAATCTCAGATATAAACAAGGAAGATAACCAAGAAGAAAAAATCTCAGCTTTCTGAAACTAAAGAAGAGTTAGTAAAAAAGCTATTGCCATTTTATTTAGACTAATGTGGCTTTCCTGATTACCATCTACCAAGGTCTCATGAAAAACAGCACATTAGATTGCAGAGAAGCAGTCACAGCATACCTTGGTTACAAGCACCTTCTGCTAACCCAACAGAGCAAGGGCAGAGCTTCTGAGCGTACCCATAAGCTACTATTAACATAAAGACTTTTGACATTTGACAGTCTGAAAACTGGAGCTGAGCAAGACAAAAAGGCTGTATCAGGTCACCTGCCAACTAGAGCTGCAAGACCTAAATTCCTGATACAGAACGTGAGGAGAAAAAGTTGCAGCAATCAAGTTAGGTACCTGCATTAGATAACTCTCCCTATGCCTGCAGTTTTGTGTCTTCAAAATAGTTTGGTGTCTCAAGCATCACCAAAAAAACCTTCTCCTAAGAAAAAGTTAATATAAAGGCAACCTAGGTCTGAACACAATGTTTAAGCTACAACTAAATTACTACATGTTCCCTACTTGCATAGTCTTTAGGGGAGGATAATCTTGTAACTGTACTCTCTATGTGTATCCTAAATGCTGAAGATCACAATTAGTCAGAGATTAGCCTAACAATATGCTGATACCATAGCAATCAGTATATTTTTAACTGACTAGTCCTGATGCTCAGATGTGCTGTCAGACAACAGTAATCAAAAGCCCATTTTTCCTCCAAAACATCCAACCTTTTTTAACACAAGCAAAAAATTCCAAAATTATGTGAAAGAAATCAACACAATAGTACAAAGAGAGCAGGGCTGTGGAACTGCTGTAAGGGAAATTGTTTAACAACATGACTAACTTCCCTCCTTCCTTCCTAAGGACCAGCAGTTTTATTGACTCATTTCCCTCCTTCCTCTTTCTTCTCTACCTGAAGACCTAAAAGTTTCTTACTTTGGAATAACCATTATGTTTATATTCATTGTTTACATTTGGCTACTCACAGTTTTTTATTATTCAAATTGAAAACCAATCAAACAGTAAACAAAATGTTCTATTCTTGCTAGGAGACTGGGATCTTGAAAATAAATGTTACAAAACAAGTCAAAGATGCATGTTGGGGAGCTATTTGGGTATTTACACTTTGAAAGAGGTGAAAGCTTAGCGGATGGGAAACTTCCCCACTGAACTGCACCCAATGTACCAGGTTGAAGTACTAATCTGCTTAAGTGAGGGAGACAGAAGCAGACAGTAAGAGCCCTTAAGACAATTAGCAATGCAGCTCTTTCAATCTCCAGTCAGATAGTGTTCACACTCAAATAAAACAATAATTAAGTCTTATGTTTCTGCACTGATCACAAACAGAAATCAGTACAACTTCAGGTTACTTGCAGATAGCTGATGAAGGAAAGAAGCTCGGAAGGCAGGAAGAGCAGAAAGGTATGAAGACAAAAACCAGCTAATTTAACAAACACCCTAAAAAATTAGCTTCTCAGCAGCACAGCAAATATTCTTCAAGTCTGTAATTTTTCCACTATAATTTTGAATGTAACTGTGTGTTTAGAGATCAGCATGTACATGTTCTATCAGCTTGGTAAACAAATACCTATCAGCTGGTAATGGATCCTAATAGATTGCTCTGCTTATGCATTTATCTGGATTCCTCAGCCTTTAGGTCTGAATCTTCTTAACCCTTAGCACAAAGTTACAGAGCATTATTTTTTCTTTCTATTATTGATAACATAGGAGCACCAGTTTGTCTTGAGATCTTACACTCTAGAGACCAGAGAACATAAAAATCTATACTCTCCACAAATCTAGATGAAGATTTTTAAAAGTAGTAAATCCACCCTTCAGGATCTGAACGTGTGTGAATATGTACATGACCACAAACACAAAACTATCATGCAATCCTGTTATACCATGCAGTATAAAACACAGGAGCAGTAGATCCAAATTTGTGAGAAATTATATTCTAATTGTATTAATTACAATCATTTCCACTATTTTTTAAAAACATATAGGACTCAATAATTCAAGAAATGCCCTATAAATTAACAAATGACCAATGTGAGAATTATAAACTGAATAAAATAAAAGCATTGCTATTTCAAAGAGCATTAAGACACTTTATATTTCAAATACTTCAGGCAAAAAAATCCTTCACTTTATAAAGACAGAAGTCAGACTGTACCGTAATATTTAAAAACCAGATCATCATTAAATCAGAATTCAAAATCTTGCAGTTAAATGTGTGTAGGAAGTAATAATGAATCCTACATATTCCCTTGCTGAGTTGTTATCCATCTAGCATTTTCCTTAGAAAAAAAATCCACTACAGATGTATTATTGTTAGGCAGCAGGAATTTGTTTTTTTCACAGGAAAGGATTAAATCCACAAATTTTACAGCAGAATAAAATGAACAGTTGCACTGTCCTGGAAGTATTGTATGTTGAATATGGAGTTTTATAATAAGGGCCACTATGAACATTGCACACAGTATTCACAGTATGCAACTATTTTCTCGCACAGTAGAAAAACAAATTTACAGGTTTTTTTCTATCAATAAATATGTAGAAAAAATATCTGCCTGTGTACATCTGTGATCCTTACCCTCTGACTATCTGAGCATCTTTAATATTATGCTTCTTTCAAAATGTAAAGTGTTTCACAAGAATTAAATAAAAATGCATGAACAATAATGGCATCTTCTTTCTGAAACCTTCAGGCATTAAAAAATTAGTACTGATGAACTCAAGCTTTCAATTAAATGTGATGTACTGTACCTGTAAATGTTTTACAATGTTCACAACTTCTCTAGTTGAATAGGGGTAGTTAATTGTTCCTTGGTCAGCTAAGCTCCTGAGCTCTCCAAAAGCAGCTACCAGTTTCTGCAGAATCGCCTCTGGAACATCGGGACCATATTGTTTAAGCATTGCCAGTTCTGACTGTGGTTTGGGATTATCAACAGCATGGCAACTAAAAATGTCCCCTACAAAGAAAAAAGAAAAAGCACAAAGTTAGATAATTTATAAAGAAATAGCATCCCAACAGCCCCTTTAAGTTTAACACTGGACCTTTAATAGAAAGATATGACTCAAAAGAATGCTGAGTACTAAGTTGCTAAAACTGTGAAAAATGTGAAGTACAAGCTATGAGGAACATTGAGGTTTCTGGAAACATAGAGATCTTGTCTGTCATTTTAATGAAGCTGATATCATGAGGGAGAAATCAACTTCAAGAAGAAACAAAAGTTGAATGCAGGTGTAGGGGGATAAAAGATAAATAAATGAGGGTAGTATGTAACCCCTAAAGAGTTGCAGCTGGGTTAACTATTAAAGTTAGGAGCAGGCCTGATTCTAACAGGCCACACCTGTAGCCAATCAGAAGAGTGTTGTAAAAGAGTGGGTTGGTTGGTTGAGGGGCAACTGGAGTCAGTTGGCCATTGTGAGGACAAGGAAGAATCACTGCCTAGAGGAGCTGCCTATAAAAAACATCATGGAGGTACAAAACTTCAGCAATATGGAACCCTTGCAATGTAATGATACTAGAACTCTTGCACTATAATGACAACATGCAGGAAAAAATAAGAGAAAAAAGATCTTAAGAAAACGTAACTGGTTGAATCGAACCTAGTTTTGAATTCCTTTGAAACACCACAGAATTCAGGGAAATCTTGAAATGCAGGAAGGCCTAATGCAAACCCAATTAAAAGGTCTAGACGAAATACTGAATTCATCTTATCGTTTCTCCCTGCCTGTCTTGAAGTATGGTAAGAAATTTGGCAAGATATTATTTCCATACATTGACATTATATTGATACCAAACATATAATCTATAAATTGAGTTTATTCACAAAAAGTCTCTGAACTGTTGTACAAAACTTTGCAGAAGCATGATCAGATCCTGCAGAAAAAGGACAAACTAAAAGCAGAAGAAACTCTAAGCTGAAAAAATAATATCAATATAGAACCCCAAAGACTCAACCACACCTCTGCCATGCAGACCAAGAGCAGTAACACTGGGATGATTTTGTTTAAAGGGTCCATGTAAGGAAGGAAACTAGGCTGTGAAAAATAAACACAACAATAAATTCTTTTGGGGCAACATAGCTTTGTGAAATTCAGAGTCAATGAGTTTCAGACAGAGAATGTCCATTCAGAGGGAACCTCACCTGAAAAACAAAGAACTATTAAGTAGTATGGAATTGGGTTTGCAATTGCTTTTTTGAGTATATTTTGAGTAGATTTCTTACAGATTAAGCATTATGGCCAAAGTTAACAGGCAAAACCACATAAATTAAGGTTCCTGCATATCAATGGCCAAGCTAACACAGATAATACAGTCAGTGGAGTCTGGAGGGTATTCAGTTCACAGCCATCATGTAGCAACAATGCTAAAACCTTGCCAGAGGCCCACTTAGACTAACAGTGGACTATACAGGCCAAAGAATTCTTCACCACTTGCCCCTGTTCAACTTAATTTCGTGTTTTTGCTGTAAGATGAAGCTCTAGGGAATCTTTGCTGACACACAGAATTTCCGAGACCTACCAAGAGCTTTCTAAACTAAGGCTTCTGTTGATATGAACATCGTTGGTGTGAAATTTGGACAGCTTTACCTGATACTGAGATAAATTCAGTATCTTGTCAAACACACATATTTTACTAAGACCATATACATGGAGAAGCAGGATTGAGAAGCGGGTAGCACAGTGCTAGCAGCAAAACATACAGTAGCCTTTACTACTGAAAGCAAAGAAAAGAACCATCCATCAAGCTACCGTCTCTTGTACCAAACAGGACAGTACCCAAGCTGTGGCTTGTTTGATATGGGAAAAAAAATAGTGAGCAATTCAAAGAGCTGTCAGATGTCAAGTTTACAGTTAATTTGTTTGGAGTATTTGTATACTCTATACACTCATTAACAAAGATTTCCATAATCTTGTCCATCCAGATCCCATAAAACAAAATAGTTTTAATACAGATGATCACATACAGCTTTTCCATTCAGGGCAAGTTTGGGCACTTTTATTAAGATACATAAATTTACATTATAGTCTTAGTGTCTTACACGACATAAAGTATCAATCAATATGCATAAGGTCCCTTCTCCTCATGAAATCTAATTGATTAAGACAGATATTCTATTAGTCAAGTCTATTAAAGATCATAAATTAATATGAATCACTTACCCAATGTGCCAAAAAAGTCATTACCCAAGAAAGGAAACCCAGGCCTATTTGCCAGAACTATCATTCTAAAATCAGGATGAATAACTATTACATTTTCTCTCCCTTCTACATGAGCATGATCTGGAAAAGAAATAAAATTTATTACTTGCATATTTAAGCTTTGCAATACTGAATGAATGAACATAATTAGATTGGGTGAAGAATTCTTAGAATTAGAAGAAAAATTCTTCTAATTTAATTACATTCCTCTTAGAACTAGAAGAACAGTTACACATCATTCAACTGAGTTTTCTAGCATTCATTTTGAAGTTTCATAGTTTGTTTCACAAAACTTTAACCAAAGTGTTTAATTGAAAAAACACAAAAATGCATCCACTGTTCTTGGGATGCAGACTACCTGTTTTCTTTATATTTAATTTCACTAAAATGGTGAAGCCAATGGTGAATAAAATGTGATTTTATATAGGTCTGACACTATTTGATCTGGGAAGACAGGATCAAAATTCCTCCTGGTTACTACAAAATTTGTGAGAACACAGAGATACATTATTTAACACATGTGAAGACTGGTTCTCCAAAACTACTCAGACTGGCCCCATTCAGAACCTTGTTCCCTTTCAGCATGATTCCAGTGGCACATGGTGTTTGGGAATCCTCTAACTGCCTCTAAAAAAACTACAGTAATAATTAGGACTGGCTAGAAAATATTTTAGAATAAGCCCACCTAAAGTTTATAATGACAAGCAAAACTCAAGTGCTCCATGTGAGTATTGAATGACTGCTACACTCAAACATTATTCCCCATATTGTTAAAATTAAACTAATTATATAAAGTTTAGTATTGAGTAGCATCAAGAGATACCTTCAAACATAGCCTTTTTTTGAAAAATAATGAAAAATAGTTTTTTCATGGAACTCAGATGAATTAAATTCCATCAAATTACAGATAGCCTCATCCTGCAGGATATATTTAAATAATAAAGTAAGCATATAATCAAGTAAGCATATGCAATATTTGATTAGATAAAATCCTTTACAATTTGACCACAGATATATAACATATCTTCCTTCTAGACCTGATCCAGTGATACCCCAAATGTCCAGATGGGCATAACCAAGATCATAATTTTCTCAACTAGATCTTTATTTCTTATGGTGAATGAGAAGCAGAGAGGTCAAAACTTTCTGGGTTAAGATTCTTTATAATTCTTCAACAAAATTCACAAGAACGCTAGTTCTAAAAAACCTTAGCGACTATTGCAAAAGTAGCAGAGAAAATTACTGTATATTCTTTAATTGTTAACTTCTTAGCAACAAACTATTTATCCATTTGGAATGGTCTGTGTTGCTACTGAGCAACTGAAAACCAGCAACATGTTACATTTTACTGTAAATGATGAAAACGCTGTAGCTCTACTTACTGGCAACAATTCGCCTTCCGTCTGACAAAACCATTTCCCCACTTTCTACTAAAGTTTTTAAGATACAGGTAACATTTGTTGGTGCTTTGTCTGCCTCATCAATTACCAAAATATGGCCGAACCTCACTGCTTTTACCTAGAAGAGAAAGGAATCATAACATCACTCCTGGCCAAAACGCTGCAAGGAGCTGCATTACTGGTTTCTCAGTGAGCAGCAGTGACACCTCAGTGGCACTGAGACAAGAAAGGGACTCAGAACAGGGACAAGCTGTGACCAAACCACAATAGAAGGAAGAGGAGGCAGGTGAGACAAGAAAGTTGGGTGTTTCCATTTCTCCTGGATAGGGATGGAAAGCGAGGGAAGTGAGCAGCCTGACTGAACGACTTGGAGTGCAGAGACATGTAAAGCCAGTTTGCATCTAGACTTTCAACATGTAGCTAGAAGAACTGAAGAATGGCTGTAACAGCTGTTTGGAGCCCAACTTAGCATGTAGGTGTGAGGTGCTGCAAAGGAGGAGGCGGCAAATACCACTCTACCAGTTAAAATGTGTCAGGTTAATACTAAATTATTTTCCATACTCATTTTGTATGTGGGGACTCCCAAGATCATAATCTTATTCACATTTGGCACAGCAAATGTGACCAATGTGACCCAATAAAAATTATTAAAACGTTTCGTACTAAACTCACTCACTGGGCTATGAAAAATCAAATTAGCAACAGTTTAAATAAAAAACAATTGCAAATATAAAATTCAAATGCTTCTACTGACCAGTGGCGAATCTTCATATATTATAAGACCATCCTTTACAGAAGGTTGTAGGGTAAGGCTTTGTACAGTGGTATCCCTGAAATGTGGAAAAACAGATGGTGTTAATTCAAAATACAGGAATGTTAGTTACAACAAAATACAAAATGAATAAATGAAAAATTGAATAATCTCTTTTTAAGAGGAAAAAAAAAACTTTTTTAGACTATTGAATAACTGAGAACAACAGTGTGTATGCTTAGTAGTCAAATGTGAATATCCTTGCCTCTGCCAGGACTTTCACAGTAGTTCTCCATTTCTCATAAACCCTGAAAACAAAACCCCTGAGAAGAGAACCAGTATTTTTTTGCATGCAGTTACATTAGTGATGTTATTATTTCTTGTTAAGTATGCCGAAACCATCATTTATGTGACAAACAGCAATTGTTACTGTTTTAGCTGTTCTTCTCCACATGCCATCATGCAAAAAACCTACAAATAAACAAACAAACAAAACAACCTGCCATGTGGATTTCTTAAAATCAATTATTTTTAGTTCTAAGCCCTACTGGCTTGCTACATTTTATATCATGACCAGTATAAGCTCTTAGATGGGACAGATGCTTCAGTAGCAGTTTCTTTCTGAAATTTGATTTGCCTTTGAACTGCTGAAATACCTTTTCTTCAAATTCAAAACAGTGCTAATTAAAATCTAATTCTCTGTAATGAGAATATTGCTTAATCTTCACTATTTAATCTATTTTAACCACCACTGAATGCACAGATAAATAAAAAAAACAGTTGCAATTCAGAAAGGTGAAGCAACAGACATCACCACAATGGATTCACCTAAATAAATTATGTTCATAACCCAGGGAAAGTTTAATTGATTGTATAAAGTACTTGCTCAGACCTTTGTCATGATCTGTATAACCAACCCCATTTTGGAACCCACTTTGGGGTTCAGAAGGACCAATGAGCTAGAGAATAATCCAGACCTGGGTCATGACAGAATGTCCCCATGACTCCCATGCTTTCATGGGCAAAAGGAAATTCAATCTTAGGGCAAGTTGGTTTTGCCATCCCTTTCCTCCCGTTTTTCAAAATTTGGATTAGTCTGTGTCAAAAGAATGATGGGCTGATCCAAGGACAAAACCCATCAGGAAAACCTCTCTTAACACTGCTTGAGATCCACATACTGGTCCATTAGTAAGGTTGGTAACCTTTGCACTGTATGTAACATTTGATACAACAAAAATCTCTTACCTTTCACAGCTGTGCTGTGTAACAAAACTGTTTGCTTAAGCCTAGCTGACTCACTCTTTCAAATATCCACTTAGTTCTATCTTTAATTTTGCAACACTGTGTAAAAACCAACAATTTTGATAAGCTCATGGGTACAGGAAATCAAACAGTACTGTTAGCAGTACTATTAAGTGGCCAGCTTCCAAACACAGTTTTTAACTGAGAGGATAACTTGCACATTTCCTTTATTTGAAACTGCTGTCAGCAGGATTTCTGTCCCTAATCACTAATAATTTCTTGTTTAGTTTTAAGCCCACAATTGATTTATCCCACAGTTTCCATGCACAGAAATAAAGCAGAGGGCAGAAAGAGAGACTTCAAATGTTTAGCTACTCGATCTGAACTTTAATCCAGAAAGGGAAAGGTTACAAAGATGGGATCATATTCAATGCAATTAACCCTGTCACAAGTAGGCAACCCTTCCCCAAATAGTGACATTAACATTGTATTCACTTGCAACATATAATTTATTAAATCATTAAAATAAGCAGTAGCACTAATCTAGTATCTTAGAAATCCTACTGTAGACACAAAAACAAAGCTTCTATTGTCATCCTCTGTGTCAAAGCAATTCATACGCTGGGCAGAAAATCAATAACAGATCCAAAAATAACAACAAACCAGTGATTTTTGTTTCTTGAACACACATTATTTAGGGACTAAATTCTCAGATTGTATGTATCGGCCTACCTCCACTATCAGTTAACATTTCTGGTTCAAGCCTATACAGTTGCAGATGCAGAAGAATTTTAAAATGTGTAAACCAAATGCTAGAGTATTTGAAGGTCACAGTCACAGGTACTAATTAGTCAGAAATAACTCAAGAAAAAATGTTCTGAGGAATTAATACAAGGTAAAAAGGGGAAGAATTTGTCAAATTTGAACTGTGATCTCTTTAAAGTAATAGAAAGGTGAGAAAATGAGGGGCCCTGAGGATAGGCCAAAAATAATGTAAAGGAAGATGAATTACAGGACGCTTTACAGATCATAAATATGCACTTAGGAGATAATGGATGAAAAACAATAAAGTGAACAAAACACATCAGGAAATTAATATCTCCAGTGATGTGCTGTCACACAGATGATGACACAAGAAAAGGCAAAAATGTCAGATGATTTTCTACTGTAACATGAAATAGTACCTTACTTTTGCTGAGCGAGTTAATCCTCTGGCTCTGCAGAGATTACTTACAGCCCCCTAATACAGGATACTAAATTGTGCTTAGTATTCCACAATAATCAGCAGCCCACACAAATCCTTAGGATGATCTCATTCTTCAGAGAAGACAGAACTGACATATTTTTGGGGAAAATAAACACTACAAGAGTTTACTGTTCAATTAAGTGCTATTACAAAAGTAGCACAATAAAAAAAAAATACAGAAGGTATCAAACTAAAATAAAAATTGACATCCTGAATCTGTCTTCTAATTTTTTTCTTATTTTATCTTTCTTCTGCTTTGCTGATAGCTGGCCTTAGTATTTAAGGAATTGGGGGATTTGCAGCGTATTACAGAAGTTAAATGTAAGTCAAATATTAATTCTATTGGCTTGATAATTTAAGTGTATGTGAAACTCCTGTATTTGCTTAGGCTATTACATTCAGACATGTATGAATGGTTTTACAAGGGTTATGACAGATCAGCATTATTTTCCTTTCAGAATCATATGCTATACACTTATATATTATTAATTTCTGTTCTTCAGAAACCTACCATGACCCAAACACAGTAAAGAATGGCTAAAAAGAAACTGTCTCCTTTGGTTTTTTCTTAAATTTCCACTTTTTAATGAATTACGTAAATGTAAAGGCACTGAAATGTAGAAAAAATAAAAATGCACTAAGTCTGAAATATTTTTGAACAACATAGCAAGCAGCATTTCCTAAATGCAAAATATATCTGGCACTCAAAATTCCCACAGGAAAGCAACTACAAACTCCAGTTCACTTTCACTTAGTAACAATAGCACCTTAATAATAACTAACAGGCTCTAACAAAGACATGAATCCCAAAACCTCCCAATTTCATCACATTCAGCAATGAAAATAGGACTGACACAAAGAAACAAGACTGTAGGAATGCAGAGGTAGAAAAACTATCTGACATACAGTCATCTTATTCAACTGAACTGATTTTATCTTTATCTGATTGTAAAAGAAAAATAGGAAAAGCTCACTAACATCTTTCCTAAGAATGTACTTTTATCAAGGAAGCCCTTCTCACAAGGGCTCCATTTAAAAAGAAAAAAAAAGAAAAAAAAAAGAGAAAAAAAGAGAAGAAATATTTACTACTGAAATATAGCAACTCCTCTGGCATGACCACTCAATTCATAGTAGGACTTCTGAGAATTCTTCTCATGTTTTTTATTAGCTCCTATTGCTGTCTTTTATTTATTTTTTGCTGCTGCATTATTTACCCTAAAGGCAGCTATTTCTGAGGTCTGCAGACTGACTCCAACATACTGCTGTGACAGTTTCTGTTTCACTGACAGCAACGCCTTCCTTCTGGAGAACAACTATGAACCGTGTCAGGAGAAGTTTCCATCAACCTCAGAGAGTTAGTTGTTATCCTCCAGTTTAACAAAAGGTGCTCCAATGCTTTAATTGAAGATTTGAGGAAGGCTTGTGCCCAAATACAGGACACAGTGTCAGGCCCCAGCTGACATCACAAACACTCACATTCCCTGGAATTACTCCATCTTGACAAGTGCAGAAGAATACACTCCAGGCTTCTGTGTGTACTTACACTGAGGCTAAAAGGATAAGAGATTGTTTGTGCAAGGCAACCTTGTGTTCTAGGGGTCCCTGCTCATGGCAACAAGGTTATATAAACCAAGCTCACTCAGGTTTGGCCTTCTTCTGATTCACCACACAAAACTTCACAGTAGTTAAAAGGAAAAACCAGAGATGTAGACTGTATGCTCTAGAAATTCTTCTTCATTTCTGTGAGGCATTTTTTATTAAATACCTATGGACATAGATACATATTTCTACATGTCAATCAGACATGAATATACCCATCTGCTGTGACCTAATTTGAAAGAGTATTTGAAAAATAATTAGTCCAAAGGCCATTTGAAGCTGTTAATTGGTCAGTTAATCCACTCATGGATTATCCTGATGAAGAGCAGGCAATCCCAACACAAAGAATCAATCTGCACGATTTTGACATTTACAAATTAATTTCTTTAGTCAACCCATCACATTGCATTGCATGACCTGACTGCTATATTTAGGAAATTCTGAAATATCTGAAAAGCCAACCAGATGTCTCACAGCTCTGTAAAAATGACCCTGTAAAGGCTTTTTGACTTATCTGTAGGAACTGATAATTAAATTCACCTTTTTTTTTTCCTGCTATGCTGTTACAGCTACTCAGCAGGACATAAGTTTGTTTAAAATGCAAGAAATTATTTTGACTATAAAGGTACTCATTACTCAGTATGACTGCAGGTGGCAGAAGAAAGGTCAAAGGGAATTATGTTTAATTCATGGTATATGCTTAAATTTGAAGTTACACAATTACTTGTATGTGATCCATCTGCCAAAACAAAATACAAAATTCACTCACCCTAATCGTAAAATCCATAAATGGGGAAACACGACACCCTGCAGCTTCCCTTATTGCTTGTAAGAATACATTTAATTGAGTAAACAGTGAGAAACTCTTATTTCAGCTTTAGAGGAAAATGAAACAATAGGGTCTTCTAACCTGAGCTATTTCTCTGTAACAGCCATGCAGCAGGATATTAAACCTAAATTCAATTCCTACAAAAAAAGAAAAACGAAGTAGC